ATAGTGTAGACAAGATGACATGGTCAGAATGCGCATGCATGCACGTGCGCGCATGCGCATTGATTGAAATAAGCAATACAATCGATATAGACTTAACTTGTACATTTTTTGATGAATTGCATTGAAACTCAGAATATAAATATATATTAGAAGTGTACACAAGAAGACTTGATCAGCGCACACATGCATGCACGTGCGTGCACGTGCGCGCGCGTGCAATGAGTAAAATGACAGATATACTTGATATAGCTATAACTTTCATATCCTTTGATGAAATGCTTTGATACTCAGGAGATCAGGATATATTAAAAGTGTAGACAAGATGACATGGCCAGAATGCACATGCATGCACGTGTGCGCATGCGCAATGATTGAAATAACCAATACAAATGATATAGACTTAACTTGTACATTTTTTGATGAATTGCATTGAAACTCAGAATATAAATATATATTAGAAATGTACACAAGAAGACTTGATCAGCGCACACATGCATGCACATGCGTGCGCGTGCAATGAGTAGAATGACCAATATACTTGATATAGCCAAAACGTTCATATCATTTGATGAAATTTATTAATACTCAGAATATAAGGATATATTAATAGTGTAGACAAGATGACATGGTCAGCATGCACATGCATGCACGTGCGTACGCGTGCAATGAGTAAAATTACCAATATACTTGATATAACCATAACTTTTACATTTTTTGATGTAATGCTTTGATACTCAGAATATATAGACCCTTTATAAATGTAGACAAGACGACGTTTTCAACATGCACATGCGCGCGCATGCAATGCTAAAATGACCAATTTACTTGATATAGCTGTAACTTTTACACTTTTTGATGAAATGCTTTGATACTCAAAATATGTAGATATATTAATAGTGTTGTCAAGATGACATGGTCATCATGGACATGCATATACGTGCGCGCGCTTGCAATGCGTACATGTAAAATGACAGATATACTTAATATAGCCGAATTTTTTTTTTATCTTTTGATGAAATTTGAATATAAAGATGTATTAAAAGTGTAGACAAGTTGACATGGTCATTTTTTACATGCATGCCCGTGCGCCCGCGTGTAATGCGTAAAAAAACCCAATATACTTGATTGCCTTTTTTAATGAAGCTTACAGGGAATAAGACACCAAAAGGAAGTTGGGGAGCGTTTGGGGAACATCTGTAACGGTCCCCGTTACAATTAATACTAGTTATTACTGCTGTATCCATTTCTCATTTTTACGATCGTGTCAGGTCTTTTTTCTTTTTTTTTCAGCCGATTTCGCTCCTACAAACGAAACGGAATCTACAGTTAATGACACAGTTTAAAGTATTCTCAACATTATAGATGTCCAAGAATGCCAAGATAAAGTAACCATGGTAACTGAATATGTTCTTTACAATTTTCCCAATGTAAGTATACAACAGTGATTTTTGTTCACTTATATTGCATTGTCTTGAACATTTTTGTTGTGGAAATATTGCAAGAACCCTATGTTGAAAATGCCGGAATCAGATAAAGATTATAATAGGATTATATACTTTTCTACCAGGAGAAAGATGTGCCAAGATTAATTGAGCTTCCAATGTTTCTCCACTACAAAATGGAATGATCAATCATACATTTTTATAAAAGTGACATTGAACTTGCCAAAATGACCATAATACACCCTCTGAACATAAATAATTTTGTTACCCCCCCCTTCTAAGAAGGGAGGGCATATTGCTTTGCTGCTGTCTGTCGGTTGGTCTGTCTGTTGGTCCACCATCAGTTCCCGTTCATTATCTTCGCGGAGGTTGCACATACAGAAATGAAATTTGGTATACATAATCTAGGTCAAGTTCTGTTTTGGGTACGATCGAGCAATTTTTGACAGTCGAGAGTTATGCCCCTTGGACTTAGGAAAATTCCAATCATTTATCAGCTGTTTATAGTTTCCGTTCATTTTCTTTGCAGAGGTTGCACATACTGAAATGAAATTTGGTACATAGATTTATCATAAGAATACATAGGTCAAGTTCTGTTTTGGGTACGATCGAACAATTTTTGACAGAGTTATGCCCCTTGGACTTTGAAAAATTTCCTGTAATTTGCAGTTTCCGTTCATTTTCTTTGCAGAGTTTGCACATACTGAAATGAAATTTGGTACATATACAGATTTATCATAAGAATATCTGATCAAGTTCTGTTTTGGGTACGATCGAGCAATTTTTGACAGAGTTATGCCCCTTGGACTTTGAAAAATTCCTATTATTTGCAGTTTCCGTTCATTTTCTTTGCAGAGATTGCACATACTGAAGTGAAATTTGTTATACAGGTTAATCATAAAAATATCTAGGTCAAGCTCTGTTTCAGAAACGATCGATCAATTTTTGACAGAGTTATGCCCCTTGGACTTTAAAAAATTCCAATTATTTGGGGGAGGGGGATAAGTTTTCACAAACATCTCTTGTTTGAAGTATATGAGCATCTAATGTTTATCTCCATTAGAAAGCATTTTACATTTTTTTTTCTATGAAAGACCTTGACTTGCCCTTATGACCTTCATAACACACCCTCGGGTCATTAGTATATGTGTCAAGTATCATCTTCCAAATCAGAGAGTAACAGACCATAATGAATTTAGCACTTTTTCTGTCAGTGACCTTGAACTTGCCCAATGACCTTAGGTCAAGGTCATGACACACTTTCAAAACTTGCGCAATCCTTACGTCAATGATAAGCTTTAAATGTTTTTTTACTATGCTCTGATTACGATCAATTTCTAAACCGAGCTAGGCTATATATTGACAAATAAGTTGATTTACAGGCATTTCAACACCCTCGTCAGCATTTCGAAAATTCTATTGTTATAATGGCCTTTGCAAATGCAACCTATCTTTGGGCTGCATTTGGAGTGACATATTTATACCAATTGTTAGGCCATTGTTTTTATACTAAATTTGACACTTACTTGTCAATACTTAGGGCTCACGGAGAGTGTGACTGGTCGACAGGGGATGATTACTCCTCCTAGGCACCTGATCCCACCTCTGGAATTTTCCAGGGTCCGTGTTTCATGCCTTGTTCACAAAGTATTATTTGTAGATTTTTATAAATCTATCACTATTCGTTATCCTCATATTTTTCATTACAAGATATGGCAAGGAACAAGAAATTTACATTATAATGACGACTATAAAATTATAGTCAGAAATTATGTTAAGTTGTCAGATAAATGGGTACAGTCCTCTAATTGTTTTCCCATATATGACAATGTGAACGTTTCTTCACATAGAAATGTCCCTAATTTTCGTTCAGCAGTGAGTGACCACTCAAATCAAAGCACACCAAGTTGTCTTTCCTTGGTTAAATTGTTGAGGTGGCATGTCAGATTTGTTTTCCCGCAAAATTCGTCTCAAAATAAAGGTGAAGTTGTGGAACTCCAGACTTCTCACTGGGGTTATAATACACAAAATAATTACATTTGCCAAGCTGTTTTTGAAGGGAACATACTTCTTATCAACAAGTGAGGCTCAGTTTAGTACATTATCACAATTTTTTCCTGCACTACCGGTACTTTCCAGGTTTAATACATAATATCAACAATAAAAACATCACAAAATGCTCGGTGTCATTTTAACTTTCATTTATCAGTAAAAGTAGATGGGTGAACATAGCGTGCAGAAAGCCTATAGCTTCAGATATATAAAAATCATATTCAATCTGTGAATTTAGTATTAGAAGAGTAAAATTCTCATTATTTAAATCTATGAAATTATGATAAACAAAACTTTTCTGAGGAAAAATTTCTCGGCAATATTTATTCTTTTATCTAAAAAATAATGTAGTATTTGTGGGGTTCGAACCCTTGCAATAAAAATCTTGAGTATCATTTTCTTTCGAGACTAGCACGCTAACCACTAGACTAGGCAAGTCCTGATGAAGAGTGGCATTTATATCATGTTTGTGATATGACCCTTGACTTAATGGACTTCAAGTATTTCTCGAAAAGCTGCGAATGTTATGTCATAAAAGTATATTTTTAAGGTATAGTGGGTCTTTGCTCCATATTTTTGGTAACCAAAAATGTTTATTTTTATGCAAACTTTGAGGATTAACTTTCAAAAAAGTGGAGCGAAGACCCACTCATATCGAAAAATAGTGTTATATATAGTATGAGGAAATGACTCTTTTTGCCCCCTTTAGTTTGTTTATAATATTTCATAGGCAAATAATTTCCATCTTTGAGGGATTTTTGCAAATTGCAGAGATTTTTTAAAAGTATATTTTGATGTTAGATGAAATATCAAGGAAAATTTTGATATAATTGAAATTTAATTTTTCACCTTCATGTTTGTCACACTATAGGCTTTTCGCCCGTCATGTTCACCCATCTTCTTGATTGTCTTATACAAATATGATTTTTTTTATCTATGTACATTGGATTCATTTTTTTTCTCATGAGAAAAATTGTGTAACAATATTGATACATCCCTCCCCTCTTTTATTGTTAATTTAATCTTTTATTTTATTTTATTTTTTTTTTTGAAGGGGGGGGGGTTAAAGATTTCCTTTTTGACCCTTTAACAGGAACTTAAATGTTTCTCTCTACTAAAAAATCGTCCTCATTCTATATTTCTCTTTTTCCCGCTTGCTAGATAATGATTTATATATAGGTTGTCCGTCTGACACGCTACTGTTGATCAAAATTTTGCAATAAAAATGTCAGGAATGTTGCTCCGTGATTTAAAAGAACGAATAAAACAACCAGGGATATGCACAACCTTGAATGTTCAATTATCTTTCAAAATTTACTGCAAATTAATTAATTCATTTATCAATTAATTAATTTATTTATTTATTTGCTTAATCAAATATTCATTTAAAAAAAAAAAATCAGTATTTCACAACTTAGGACCATTTTACGCCAATTAGCATGCTTCTCGAGCTTAAGATCGGAATACCTCTACTTTTTACATTTCGTTCAGCTAACATTGCGAAATGGGTACAGGCGACAGAAATTTCTTTAGAACTTTTATGTTTGTAATATTTATGTTGAATTTAACAACTTCTTCTGTTAAAGGTAAGTAAGATAACAAACCTTTTTCCTTGATTTCAATACATACTTTAATCTCCCCTATTTATTGATGGAGCGAAAACTACATTTTCCAGTGTTTTCTGTACCTTTTATAGTTCGCTAAATGTTGCCCTGTAAATATATTTTAAACTGTTAATACCTCAAGTCAGAACTTAGCTGCAATAATGTATCTCTCTTTGATATGCTTATTAATAATGATGTCCCCCCCCCCCCCCACACACACACACATAAAATAAAAAAATGGAGATGGCTATCATATTATTCCAACTAGTAATTTGTTCACCTTTCACCCCTTCTTCCCCATATGGATGCCAGACATCAGCCCAACTACACTTCAGCTCACAGAGATTTAGGCCCAATGACACGTACCCCAGCCAAAAAGGTTGGCCCAGGACTTAAGATAGATCAGCCTAAGATTTCAAATGGGTTGAACCATCAACACTGAGCCCATTAAACAGGTCCGATCACAGGGGCTTGCTCCCAGCATGTAATAATTATTGAAGAAGTGATTTAAGAAATGCTATTTTAGGATGAAATATATGGAGATAACGAACAGTATTCAAGCTTAAAAGTCCATTAAACAATACAAAATAGGAGCAGAGCAAACACGGACCTCTAAACATCAGAGGTGGGATCAAGTGCCATGGAGGAGTGAGCATCCCCTGCCGACCGGTCACACCTTGTCATGATCGGGAAATAACGGAAAAATCCGTCGACAATTCAGTGTGTAAATAATGGCCTAACAATTAGTATGAAATACGTCAGTCAGCATTTGACTCAATGATAAATTGTATTTGCTGACAAGGTCATTGTATTGACCATAGAACTTACGAAATGATGACTTTAAACGAGACAGATGATATTCTTGTTTCATCAACTTGTTTGTCAATAAATTACCTTGTTTTAGAAATTGTACATGCTCTTGCGTATCGAATCAACTGAGAGATATATAGCCCGTATGCAGGTGATGAAGGTATATTGCTGCATAAGTAAGGGAAGTTGACAATTGAAAAGTTAAAGTCATCACATTTATCATAAAGCTTGGTTATTAGATTACCATTAACGTCTTTTTCAAGTAAAATATCCAAATATGAAACAGATATGTCAGACTCTGTGGTATCTTTTATCTCAAGCTCACCAGGCTATATCGTATTGACATAAGAACAGAAAAAGCCATTGTTAATTGACAATACATTGTCGACATATCTAAATGTCGAGTTGAAGGCCACAGCAAGTGTTTTCTTCTTTTCACGTACAAGATTTTGGACAAATTCTGCTTCATATGAATACAAAAAAAGGTCTGCTAATAACGGGGCGCAATTGGTACCCATGGGAATTCCAATAGATTGTTGGAAGACCTGGTTTCCAAAAACCACATAGATATTGTCAATCAGAAACTCAAGCATGTTTTTAATGTCAACTTCAGAGTACCTGTGTGTACAATCAGAATTTTTTTTAACAAAATAATTTTGCAAATGACCAATGACAAGGTAAGTATATTTACGAGTTCCATTTTTATTGAAAAAGCAGCTGTCAGTTATATCAAAAAGCCTGGACTTTAATTTATCATGGGGAATGGTTGTGTATAAAGTAGAAAAGTCGTAAGTTTTTAAGCTGTTGATTTTGGTAAAATCTTGTGATTTCAAATTTTCCAAAAGTTCCTTGGAATTTTTAAGTATCCACATCTGATTTACACCACTTCTCGAATATATTGTTGCACAGTACTCTTGAAGTTTCTAGATCTCCTTCACCACTGTTAATATCTTAGTGAGGAGTAAAGAAATAGGCTTGGTTGAACATTTACTGGAACCCGCTATGTATCTTTGTTTGTAAGAATTTTTATGAAGTTTCGGAATCCAATATAAATATGGTAATTCAAATTCATTTTGGTTGTTTGGAATATTAAAAATATTCAAAACTGACATATGATTTTGAAGAATTTCTTCCTTAGAAAGGGAACTACGAGTATAAGTTGGATTACCACTTGTAGAATTAAATCAAAGTTCCTCTAAAATACATTTAATATAATGAGCCTTACAAACAAAGACAATGTTGTTACCTGCTTTGTCAGCAGGGACCAGTACATACTGATCATGTAATCTATCTAATTCTATTTTCACTTCTGGATTATTGAATGCAGAAGGATAGATGGTTCTCATATTGCCCCTCAATCTTTTAATGCGTGATTTTAACATACATCTGATACATTTAATCCATTCTGACAAAGTGTCAAGGTCTTCTTTTTCATGTCTGGCCCATCGCCTGGCGTAGTCCTCTACAGAATCCATAATATTTATGAAATTCCGACGCCAGTAATGAGTTGAAGGATCGGGGTTCCCTAAATTTAGGACCTTTTAAAATTAGTGATCTAAGGTCCTCATTATTAACTATATTTACGTCACCAGTAATAACGTGTCAAGCAGGACTATAGTTGTAGGGAGAAGAAGAACATGAACATGATGGAGGATTATGTTTCAGATATTCGATATCCAGGCCCTGTAAAAATTTTTTGATTTTGTGTATTACTTTTTAAATAAATAATTATTACACATGCTGGGAGCAAGCCCCTGTGGTCCGACAAAGTCTCTTGATTATGCTATTTAGCTTGAATTAGCTATAAAGCTTTATTAAGCTATTCAGAATAGCTTGATTTAGCTATTTTATCACACTTTTTGTCTTAAAATGTGTTATTTTTTCAGCATGTACAAAAAGTTGCACCTTGGTGCAGTGATAGTGTTAAAATTTATACTCTTCTGAAAACAATGCAGTGTAATTTAAATTGCTCATCATTCAAGCTGCATCTCCTTGAGAGACTTTGTACTGAAAGTTCCCAAAGTTCTGGGGCTATCTAAAGCAATTGATTTGTGACCACACAGATACAGTAAATTACAATTACTCATTTCAATTACCCCATCCCTGGCCCCCAGGGTCTTACGGACAACCTTGTGAATAGCTAAATAAACACGATAAAGCTTGATGAAAATTCTTGTATAATTCAAAGAAAAATATACAAATTAAAATTACTTGACATAAATTCTAGATGTTTTATTTATCCAAACTTGTTTTAGAAGAAGTGTACAACAGCATAGACATTAAAGTGTAGCACACAGTTCCTTTAAATATTATATTTTATGTCAAAAATCTTGACAAATGCCCCTATTGCAGAGGTGTCTGAGAGAGGAAGGGAGTTTGGCTATTGGTTCTGAAGACTGTTTTATTTAAATCAAATGCCCCCCCCCCCCCCCCCCCCAGGCCTAGGTTGGAGCCACAGTATGAGTTCAAAGTTTCCCATAGGAATATATAGGAAAAATCTTTTTAAAAACATTCTTTTCAAGAACAAAAGGGATGCAGTTAATCATTAAAGGCATAAAGCATACCTGTTCACAGTGTGCTAGTCTGATTTAGAACTTCAGAGGTTTACAAAGGCTTACATGTAAGTTCAACGAAGAAAAATAAAGAGGTTTATAAAGGCTAGCTTACATGTAAGTTCAAGAAAGAAAAATAACTTTTAAATTTTTATTTCAGGCATTAGATTTAGATGGGCCTTTGGAAATAGCCGTGGTAATCAGGAACCCTCCAAGACTTCCATTGGTGGCCGGGGAGGAAGTTCGTTTTGGCAGGAAGATGTTTTCAATACTTGGGTGTTTGGCGGAAAGGGTATATATAATGGACGACCATCCATGAAAAATGATCTATGGAAATATAATGTTAGGGAAAGAAAGTGGACTTTGGAACATCCTGGGTCTGAAAGTTTAGATATATCTTCCAAAAATAAGAACAGGGCACCTGTTCCAAGGAGGTATGCATCAATGTGCGGGGTGCCTGGGACACTAATTGTTGTGTTTGGGGGGATGAATAAGGATAAACAGGTGCTTGGAGACACCTGGGTATTTGTATTCAAGAAAAAAGAGTGGCTTCCATTGTCAGAAATGTTAAAGAATCTGAGAAACGAGAGCATTGGAGAGTCCCCTGATCCAAGAGCTGATGCTGTTGTGTGGTGTATGCAGACAAAAATGATGCTTTTTGGAGGCATTTCTGAGACTTTGGACCAGTATGATGATATGTGGGAATACAGCCTTATTGATCTTAATTGGAGGCAAGAGAAACTCTCCTCAGAACTTCACAGAAAAGGAATCATCCGTCCACAGATAACGTACCCAGCAGGTCGTAGTGGTGCAACAGCTTGGGTTGGCCACAATGAACAGCTGTACATGTTTTCTGGAAACACGCAAACCAAAAACAAAGTGGATTCTCATCACAATTCAGGATTTTCCACTGATCTGTGGAATTTTGACTGCAAGAAAAATGCATGGGTGAAAATAATGGGGGACCCAAATAAGTGCTTGGCAGGTTATTATGGCAAAAAAGGCATGGCAAACAAAAAAAATATTCCAGGATGTCGGAGGGGAGCAATTCATTGGACTGATAGTGAGGGGCACTTGTGGATGTTTGGAGGAGAGGGGGCCTCTTCAGACCCCAGGACAATCTCTGATGAAGTTCCAGATGTCATTCTGAATGACCTCTGGTACTTTGACCTTGACTATAAAATGTGGTCATGGATGGGTGGATCTGACAGAGCCAGTGACCCGGGAAGTTACGGTTCAGCAGACAATGAATTTGATCATGGAAGATATCCAAGCTGTCGAACAGATGCCATGTCTTTCAATACATGGAACGAACTGTATGTAGTTGGAGGGATAGGACATGACTCCACTAAAGCTTTCAGTCTGTTAGATGATGTATGGGGTATTGACGTCCACAGTGAGGTTAATTACAGAGATGCGGCTTGGCCAGGATCTGTGTTCATGCTTATTTTTTTCTTTATTGGCTTATTACTTGTTCTGGTTGTTACTTTTAGTTTTGCTCGTAAATATTTCTCAGGGAGTAAGAAAAATGAAAGTAAGAAGTATGATGTAGAATACTCCATGCTCCAGGATGAAGCAGATTAAAGAATCAGTGCTTCCATATGAAGCAGATTATAGTCTACTTCAAAAAGTATATTTCAGTTACATGTATATAAATATTTGTGTAAATTTTGTTAAAAGTATTTGATGTTGAATATTTAAGTTTTTCAGACTTTACCCCACCTTGATTACATAATCAGGCTGTAAACTGTGATACTATACAAAAATATGATCTCTTTATTAAATGAAATCCACAGCAATCTAGCTGCAGATGTATTTCACTGGTCAAAAAAAAATTCAGATGGACGACTAGTGAGCTACAGTGCCACCCATTGATGAAATTGTATATTTATTGCGCACAAAAAGGTGTGCTGGTTTTTTTATTTATTTCTTCATATATTTAAACTGTACATGTCATCTCAAAATATTTTTAACCTTGTGTTCCTAGCATATACATATATTCTTTTACTATTTCCACAACAAGACATTGCTCATAACAGTTTAGCCCTCCTGAACCTGAAATTGAGGCTATATATTGAAAATTTTCAGCTATTAATACTGCCATTTGGAGAGGTAAGACAATTTTTCCAACATGCTTGATCCAGAATGAGAAGTCTAAGGAATTTTTTAAATTAATTGAGTTTTTTTGCAGTTGAGAAATAAATCCAGAAACCAGCGCAACTTGTTGTGTGCAGTAAATACAGTTTTTTCAGGGGTGGCACTAGAGCTCTTCAGTCTGTCAATATATATTTTTTGGAGAGCTACAGTTCTGCAGCTACCTGCAATCAAATTTCAGCATCATTGTTGATGTATTTTCATCATTGTTTATAATTTTGTAATTACTTATTATTACAAATGTGCATGTGTGTGTTGTATTATTTTGTTTTGTTTTTAATTCTATATTATTTTTTCTGTATAATTATTCCACTGTTGTAGACCATTGGTAAAATATTAATTAATCTAAATATGGTAATATTATTTGTGTATACATTAAAAGCACAATCACAAAAGCTGAACCCCCCCCCCCCCTCTTCCCCACCTGCACCCCACATACACATCTACTCCAGACTAATATTTGTGTTATAAGGCACACTGTAATTATGACAGAAAACCTTTAATATAAAAGATTTAAACATATTTACATTGTGCAAGACCTACATTCAAAAAATGGTGTCTTGATAGATAGATTATCGGTATAAACAGTTCACCAGTAGTGGACACAGATTTATCTATTTAGAGGCATTACTGTAGATTCCTTATTTTATGCGAGTACTTAATATTGCGAAATGGACATAGGACCTCAAATCACTAGAATAATAATTCGCAAGTGGACGACTGATGAAGAGATTTTACATACATTTAAGCACCATAAAAATAAAAGCGCATACATAATTTTATTTTACGAGTGGTGCTTTTCATGAAATTTTGCGATAATTATTCCTCGCATATATTTAGGGATTTGCAGTATGTTAATAGTACTACAGTCATCAATGTATTTAATTGTTTCTGTATTTTTTATGCCCCCGGATCCAAAGATCCCAGGGGTATATTGTTTTTGTCATGTCTGTCTGTTTGTCTGTCTGTTGTCAACTTTAACCTTGCCCATAACTTTTGATTGGTTGGAGCTATGACTTTCATATTTCACATGTGTATTCCTTGTGACAAGATCTTTCTTTGGGTATCATCATATTTGGCCTTTTGACCTTGACCTTGGAGTTTGACCCACTTTTGCAAAATTTTATGAGACTTTAACCCTGGCCATAACTTCTGAACAGTTGGTGCTTGGGGTTTCAAACTTTACATGTGTATTCCTTGTGACAGGACATTCCTCTGGATATCAACCTCCTTGATTTGACCTTGACCTAGGAGTTTGACCTACTTTTGAAAAACTTTAACCTTGACCATAACTTTTGAATGGTTGGAGCTAGGGTTTTCATACTTTACATATGTAATCCTTGTGACAAGATCTTTTTTTTGGGTACCAATCACTTTGACCTTTTGACCTTGGAGTTTGACCTACTTTTGAAAAACTTTAACCTTGGCCTTAACTTTTGAATGGTTGATGCTAGGGCTTTCATATTTCACTTATGTAATCCTTGTGACAAGACCATCCTTTGGATACCAACCACTTTGACCTTTTGACCTTGACATAGGAGTTTGACCTACTTTCGAAAAACTTTAACCTTGGTCATAACTTTTGAATGGTTGGTGCTAGGGCTTTCATACTTCACATATGTAATTCTTGTGACAAGACCTTCCTTTGGATACCAATAACTTTGACCTTGACCTGGACGTTTTACTTACTTTTAAAAAACTTTAACCTTCGCCATAACTTTTGAACAGTTGCAGCTAGGTCTTTCAAATTTCACAGGTATATTCCTCGAGACAAGACCTTTCTTTGGGTACAAACATTTTTTATCTTTTGGCCTGGATTTTGACTTGCATAAGCTGCCATATGGGGGCATCAATGTTTCACAAACACATCTCGTTCATTTTTTATTTTATTTTTTATATATATATTTTAACTGCAGTAGCACATTAGTAATAGGGCATATTTCAGGTTTTAAATAACTGGATTTTTTTTTATAGAGGATCATAAAGTGAAAATTTGTATTATTTTGTTCTTAATTTGCAAAGGAAAAGTGTTCAGTTTTAAGAATGTGCATAGTTTCTATTTTTAGCACACTGTTAGTCTATTCCCTAGTCATTCCTTCTTCCATTAATAATTGCTCAGCTATTTTTAATATGAGATGTTAAACAACATATGGAAAACCTTCCTCTACAAAATGGCACACCAATATTACTGGCTTATTATAACCATATCATGTATAATGTACATAATTATACATATAAATTTTTTGTAATGCAAGATATTTTTTTGCAGAAATTGTTTTTGCAGAATATTTTTTTTTCTATCCAATAGTAAACCAACAATTATGTATGAGGACAGGGGTTTGCAGTGTTTTGCATTATGTAACTGTATAAAGAGCCATTATGTATAAAAAGTTATTTGATAATCATTTTAAACTGCAGACTTCTTTGTTCTCTAGTAACCTTGATATTTTTTTTATAAAAGATACCTAATTGATACAGAAGAAAGCTGTAATGAACAGTTATAGTGCCTAAGTACATATGTACTAAATCATGTTGTGAGCAGCTTGTTCTGTTGAATTTCCTGGTGGTTGGTTGTTTGGACAAATTTTCTGCTCTGTGTTCACTTTCACGCTGTTAATCCAAGTCTCTGTTTTTATTTCATATATTTTTAAAGACCTATATATTCTTTTCTTTTCTTTTTTATAAAATAAAGAGTTTAAAAGTTATATATAGTAAATTTTGTGTCATTTTTTCAAGAAATTATACAGAATGTGATGTACAAAATGTTTTAACAAACTAATATAGCAAAAAGGTTTGACATGGAAAGTAAAATAAGAGACTGATAAACTTTAGAAGTCGTAAAAACCTGGTAAAAACTTCAAAGTACCTAGTCCTTTAATTTCTAAATTAGGCTTGTTGACCTAGTTCTTGGTTTCCTGGTGCGATTTTACGTGGTATATCTGTAGAACAGGGCACTGGGGATGAAGTGTATCGTTTGTACCACAACTTTTGAACTTGATTTGAATGTTTGGTTTGAAATGATAGCCCGTAATGATGAAAATATTAATGATGAGTATTGATCTGTAAAATTGAAAATTAATTTTGATCAACAAACGTTTAAGATGCATTCCTCGTCGCAAACCACGGCCAAAATATACGATCCTCACCGATTCTGGTAGAAGAGAACTAAAAGCCGACTCCGGACCGCACGTGGGTTGAGACGATGTGATGCATTCACTGATGAGGAGTTGGTGGTGCCCAGAGTAGCGAGTATGTTTCTAAGGCAATAATATGCATAAAATACCAAATGAGATCATCGTAACCTATATTTTTGCACGGGATACAACACAATAAGGTTTCCAGATTATAAGGTTTTATGTTTCTTGGTGTCACTGTATGCAAGATGTCTTTTAGTATCACATTCTGTATAGTATTTGAGTTCACCAACTCCTCTTTTAATGGCAACAAACCTTAACGTTTGCCCTAAAATACCGGTACATCATCTGAAATACTTGGATGGTCTTAGGGCCGGTACACACGATAAGGCTTGCCTTGTAAGTCATAGAACTTAAGTTAGTGCCTTACCGTGTGTACACCCTTAATGCACGGTTTTTAGCCTTACAAGTCTGACTTACAAATAGAACACTGTTCTATTTCTTAAGGACAGACGATACGTTCCTCAATAATATATAATTTTTTCTAAGATTTTGTCATTGAAGTATTCCTACTTTAACATGTTTACTCGCAAAAAATTGGGGTACCTTACCAGGCATTTGTGCAAGATACCAGAGGATGTTGTTTCCTATAAAATCCTTATGGAAAAAACTTAATTTTCCAATATCACATTTTTTAGTGTTTTATTTTTTTTAAAGACAATCAGAAATCAGTTTAGAAATCAGAAGGTAGTTGAAATTTAGAATATTTTCCATATAATACGAAGATATGCAAAACAGATATTTGAGGAACGTATCATCTGTCCTTAATACAAGACTTAGCTGAAACTTTCTTCTCAACCAATGAAAACCATGAATGTCATTCTATTTTTATCAAACCATACAGGTGGGTAGATTGAAGTGAACACAAAGTATTTTCGAATAATTAAGCTAATGAAAATATCCACAAATGCTTCTGTTCAACCTCTTCCTCTTTTTTTAAGAAGTGTGAATGTACTTGTTGGTATAATTATTACAAAGCCTAATAATCTATTCTTCTATTTTAATGACTGAATGCACTATTTATGCTGGAAACACGTGAGATTTATGGAAATGTTGTATATAATCTTGTAAGTCTTCCCTGAACGTGTGGACACGAGAGCCCTACGTCCTGCAAAACGTATAAGGCAAGCTTTACCGCGTGTACCGGCCCTTAGACGCCAAAATTGTCCCTGAACAGTTTTGATAACCGTATGCTTTGTAGAATGGAAGGTTGTCTAAAATTGCTTTGCTCCACATATTTTAACATCTCATTGAGATCTTAACCTTAGAGATAGCATACTTTTAGGTGAAGGACAGGATAGGCTAAATTTGAATTTTCTCTTAATCAATGGTTCCAATACTAAAGGCCCGGTCATACACGACCCATAGACATACACACACACAATTCAACAAATTTTCCCTGAATTGTAGAACTTTCAGGAAGAAACATATCCCAAGCTGGATCATGGAAAGAGTGGGTGTGTGTGTTATAATATGATGATATTGGTATATATTTTACTTTTATTTTCAGAAATATAGATTTGATTCCGAGGAGTACGGGTAAAATACCTAATGTCACCTTCAAACACATCTTTGCAAACCAAGGGTTTTGCGGCCGGTCCGCATCGCTCTCCAGGTGGAGAGCGATGCGGACTGAAAACCCTTAGGCTTGCGAAGATGCTTCAAACGTTTCTTGACGTACAGGTCGAGTGAAAGACACTCAAATGGACAATTTACTAAACGTATCCTTGAAGATGTATGAACTTCAATATGCATACTAAGCATTGTTACTTTACACCTTCTATTGTAATAGACGACATTTCCGTTATTGTCGGTTTATACATCCTTTTGCTTGCATGTACAATTAATTAACACACTATAGTTATACTATATTAAGAAAAATAAATTCTGAGCCCTTGAGTGCACACAATTAAAGTATAAATTAACAGAAGAACAATACAGAAGAGAATTTTTCATATGTCAGGTATTTCCATCAGAAATAAAATGAAAGGTTGAACCCCCCCCCCCCCCTTCAACGAAGAGATTAAAACCAACATTATAAATTTAAAAAAAAAAATTCGATGTACAGTTAGCTCAACGATTATACAAGTATAAAAAAAAACCTCGCGTGCTTGTCTTTACTTGAGCTACAAAATATAACTAGGCCTAAAATGAACCTGCATGTTGTGAAGCAAGTCCTGGCTGTTTAAGGGCGCACATCGATCGTAGTACTTAGCGACATAGCAGACCATTGAATAAAGCTGTAAATCTATCACGAGTCTGTCTCCTCCGAAGTGAATCTTGTTTGGGGCAGGGCCATGTGAGGAATACGGCGACGGTAAATGGCCAGTCAGTTTAAAGTTCTTCTCTCTCTCAAACGGAAGGAGGGCGGCGGTGGGGTGTTCTATAAACACGATGGGGAGAGGTTCACACAACCCCATACCCTCAAACTGAACCAAAACACGGACTATGTCGTCACCGTACAATCCAACAGAAAACTCAGGTGAGTCCTCAGAAAAGGGGAGGGGCCATAAGGATCTTTGTGATTTATCTGAAGTATTATATAGTATCATAAAGTTTAATTGTCCCTTGCAGTTCAAACCAAATATCGTATCCACTGTTCATGCATATCTTATGCTTATTTATTTATTATCGTCATTTTATCTCTTGCTAGTTGATGAATTTTCAATATGTGATAAAGAAGTATTCATCAAGTGCATGTGTCCTAACCTAGTTTTCTTTCAGAGGCAATGTTGCATATAACACGATAGCCTTTGAAATACCAAGGACCTTTTCATATTTGAATTAAATCGATTTATTGTACAAATAAAAATACATTTGCTACTTTAGAACGGACCGGGAAGATTTAAGACCCCGTTCAATCACCACCGACTCGCAATCTATTTTAAAAGAAGGAAAAGTTTTTGCAAGGTTCTTCAAGCCACTGGAATTTAATGCTTTAATTCAACTTCCCTTTGTTTAATATTCCATTTCTTTCAGACTTTCATTTATAATGACCAATAACTTGGGATGCCTTTATCGTATTGAAGTCATAATTCGTAGATTAGCCAGTCTCAGATTGATGTATACACATGAACATGTATATATATACCGAGTAATGTATAAAGAGACCCGTGAATCTAATTTGACCTCTAAAGTAGAATATACTTTCCGTCTGTAATCCTCACAAGATCATATCACACACCACGTCTTGGACTACATGAAAATTATTCAAGTGTTTCAAAGTTGTACACCATATATGTAGCCTGAGTAGGGTTCATTATTTTGAACCTTGAAGATATATCGATCATGAGAATGTTATTTTAATTTAAATTCAAGACACGTAATCTCTCTTGACCCATTCAACTTAAGGTTGAAATTCGGCAGCAAACAGAGCATTTTTTTTTATAATATAAATACGATGGGGAAACTGTGTATTGTCTGCTACAATGACCTTTAAACTACGCATCATGTTTGTCAAACAGGAAAGTTTTATATAACCAAAAATGTAATAAATGAAACTGAAAACGGGATTAATGATTGAAAAAGTTTCAATACGTATTCTAGAGAGACTCGGATACTTTTATTCCATTGATATTATATAGTGGTGAAAACTGAAATGTGTATTATAATGGGATTCAGGGTCTGATCTAGAGGGGGTCCGCATCCCCTCTCCCTGGAATTTTCAGAGTTATTACATTTCTATGTAAAAATAACGGGAAAAAATGACCTTGAATCCCCTCTCCCCTTTAGAAAACACGGACCCCTCTTGAAACGGTAAGAAGAGCCATGTATTTCAAGAAATTGACTTAAAAATGTGTGCCCCCTCCAACCAAACACAAAATAGGTTTTTAAGGTATAGGCAGGTTGTTTTATTTATTTATTTATTATCATTATTATTTTATTTAATTTAATTTTTTTAATTTTTTAAATGTAACTTTATTTATTTATTTATTTTCTGCTTTCAAACATTTCCTGATCGGTACCTAAAAATTGATTAAAGCTTAACTAAGAGCCACTATAATTGTCTTGGGCCTGAAAACATTATTTCTCGTTCCTGGAAAAACATTTTTGTTTGTTTGTTTTTGGAGGGTGTGTGTGTGTGTTTTTAAATTAATATTCTGTGAAAAAAGCAAAAACAAGGCTTTGAATTTGAAATGACATATTCAATCAATTATAATTTTGTTTTGCCATTTTACGTTTTTAATCCCTTTCTACAATTTTTAGAGACCTAATGATTCACGGAGAAAGATGCGAACTTACGGAGGTGAAGCGGGACAAATCGAACTCTTCCGATGATTCCTTAAAATTTTCCGCCAATTTTAACACCACTGGGTACGCCGCGGAAAAGAGGAAAGGGCGGAAGGACATTGCGATAGCGCTAATGGTGAGCTTTTGTGAACTTTCCCCTCAATTTTTGTTGCACAAAACTCTATTAAAAGACGGTTCAAGCAAAATTAACCAACAAATATGTACTAGTAATTCCCGTTGTATTTTCTACGGGAAAATGCAATGGATGTTTTGTACACAAGGAAGCATATCACTTTTTTTTTTGTTATACCCTCCTTAAAAGGTTGTGAAAGGATATATGGAGTTCTATTTAATTATAATTCCAGACTCAAATTTGCTATTTAATTATAATTCCAGTCTCAAATTTGCTACAGAGGTGGTACGTGTCCAGGGCTACAAGCCTATCCATTTGATGGTCAAAAGGTCATAGTTCATGGTCAAAGATACCAGGAAACTGTAGTAACTTTGCAGACACGGTATTTCTAGTACTAATAGAACGTTTAGTCCGAAACTTGCTACAGAAATGAATTTCTGGTACTAATTGAACGTTTAGTCCGAAACTTGCGACAGATTGATTGATTGAATGTTGTTTTAAGTCCCATTCGAGAATTTTTCACTCATATAGAGACGTCACCATATACCGGTGAAGGGCTTCAAATTTTGACCTTTACTCGGCACTCAGGGCCATTGAGCAGTGAGGGATCTTTATCGTGCCAACGCCTGTCGTGACACGGGGCCTCTGTTTTTAAGGTCTCATCCGAAGGATCCGCAACTTTCACTTCAAAAAGCCGAGCGCATGGCGAAGGAACAGTTGCTACCTATTTTTTTATCGACTTAGGTCAGTCGCGGCCGAGATTCGAACTCACGACCTCCCGATCACGGAGCGAGCGCTCTACTGACTGAGCTACTGTGAACGGTACTTGCAACAGAAGTGGTAGGTTAGCAGGGGGTACTAGCTACTCATTTTAAGGTAAAAAAAAGTCAAAGGTCAGTATAAGAGGGAATAAAATTGTAGCAACGTTTTGAACACGATATTTCAGGAAACAATAGACCCTTCAGTCTCAAACTTACTACAGTTATGGTACGTTACCAGAATAACATGCATGGATGCATCTGAGGGTCAAAAGGTAAAACCTCAAGGTCAATAGTAATAAGTTTAAGCTAAGAAAGGGGCATTAATTAAATAATACCGTTAGACCTTTTAGACTTGTTGCTTGCTTCAGAAATGCAAGGTGGCTGGACGAAAGACCTTAGAATTCCAAAATCCAAAGATCAAGATAGAGATAGGTATAAACTAATATATGAATACGGACTAAAGAGTATCACTCAATTTCTTAGTGCCTGAAAAAAAGATGCATGGCACCAAGTGGAAGAAGCCTATTGATTCCATGGCTAAAAGTCAAGAAAAGTAATTGTATTTATGATACTGTAATTACGCAATATAGGCTATATGTTCATTGTTCGAGAAAATGTTCTTTGAATGATATCATATTGTCAGGGGATGCTAATCTTTTCAGTCACCTTGACCTATTTTTTTCCCTTCTTTTTAACAACTTTTGCCTAAATTTCTTTCGACTTTTTCAGTTTGATAGTGGCGCCACATTAACAGTCCTACTCCAATGCAAGTTTTATGGTCAGGGCGAGATTGAACATTGTAGATGGGGCTCTAGTCTCACCTGGATTGAGTACGACTGCTCTTTGACCGAAGGCCAAACTGGGGTTCGAGTCAATAAACACAAATTTGTATGACAACATCCATAGCAATATAAATCGTTTCGTCGAATATTTTAATTAATGCTACTGGTCAAAACTGGGTTACGTACATGTAATAGTAACCCTGACCAGTTTTTACATACAATTCACAATTATGATTGAAGGAAAGGTTTAAAGACAATTCGGTCTAACTCGCTGTTTATATACAATTTATTATGTTTTTACTGTATCTGTATTATTTTAATTTTAATAAAATATATTTTAATTCTAAAATTTTTACAATGCTATATTTTTTCTCAGTTATACATACAATATATAACAGACGAGTGTTATTATTTTTTAAGCTGTATTATTTTACGTGTAAGTAAAATCCATTGGCATTTTTTTCTTTACAAATAAAGAATGGAAATATATTAGTATGACTATTGTTCGAGGGAAAATGTCAAAGTTTGATTCCCTATTGATTTGAACATTTTAAATCTTCACTTATTAATGAAGTTAGTTTTTGCTGGAGTCATTTCAGGCCAGTGGTTTTTGAGATTTTACAAGATGCCACCAAATTTCACTCTTCCTTATCCCCCCCCCCTTTAAAGAGGGTGTGGCAAATATGAATTTCCTTCATTCAAAGTTGTTTGTAGCAAGTTTGGTTCAAAATGTCCCCGTGGTTATTGATAGTAAGTCAAAAATGTGAAAAGTTAATAGACATGAGTCTTGATAAATTTATATCTGTTTCTTAAGTAGAATAATTTTTGTAAATTCAGAGTTATGGATCCCCCTGAAAAGAGAAGAAGGAAGGGATTCATCAATAAAAGTTGTAGATTATGCTTCCTGCCTCATAGCATGTAGAGGAAAAGTAACATCAGCTAAGCTTTGTTTGCAAAAATTTTAAAACACAAAGGTTGACAAAAATAAAGGTTTAACCATGTACAACGTAAATGTGTAATAAATTTGTGATGTTTATTACCAAATAAATAATTTACAAACAAATCATAAATAAAACAATAAAGATGATTGTGCTTGTATGATAAATGCACACACTGCAGGTGCATTACTTTGGCGTTGAGTCAGTTCAAATTCAACTTTTTAGATGTTTTAGATTGATATGAATGATATACACAATTTTTGACATTTCAAATAAGTAAGTACAATAAATTTCAATTTTTACCCTAGCAGTTTTGGCAGTTTTAGACATTTTAATGAATTAACCTTCACAAATTTGACAATAAAGAAACTTGCAAAGAAATACTTTAAGTAGGCATCTTGACATGATTTAATAATTACTGCCATAATTGGATTAAGAACTGCAAACTACATTAAAAGACATTCTGTATAAATGCATTTTCAAAATTGCTGGAGTAGAAATATATAAATATTACAGCCACCTGACATTACTTATTTTTCTTTTAATAAAAAAAAATACATGCCCCTTAACTAATAATTCATTAGGTATTTTTTTTTATTAAAAGAAAAATAAGTAACATCAGGTGCCTGTGATAAATATATAATAAATATGTAAAGGAATTGACATGAAAAATAATTAAGGGCGTTTTTAGGATTTTCCCTTGAATTCAGCTCTACTTAAAGAATATTGGCCAAAAAAAAAAAAAAAAAAATAATGAATTTTTTCAAGGAATTTTACGGCCACAGGGCAGCCTGTAATATATAGTAAGTGGCAACACAGGTGTCAGACACCCTACAGATATACCCATTTACCTCTTTAGTCTATTTTTTTGTAAAAGTACAGATGTACAGGGGCATATCTGTAGAGCATCTATCCCCTGTGTGAGGCAAAGACATATAATATCCATTAACAAAGTCCTTATTACAATACATTTTACAAATCACTCCAAATAGAACTTCAATCATAACAAAATAAATTTTCTATTTTAACTATGAAACTGCACTTTTAAAGGCAGAATATATGATCAGTAGCATTTTATACCAGATCAACACCACATATGGTACTACATTTATTGCCCAACAAATGACTAATTCTGTATACTCTAATATTGCACATTTTATAACTGCATTGGTCCACATTTGAAGGTATTATACCTCCTGTGTCACTATTTTGAAGCCGTCTACATGTATTAGTGGTCAACTCTACTTAAAAAGGATTGGATCTTCATCAACCACCAACTGTTTATAATACATTCAAACCTCATTATCTCAAACTTGGTGGGGCCAAGAAAAAAAAAATTGAGATATCTGAGAATTCTAAACACTTAAATGAAATGTGGCTGGGACTTCCAACTCAGTTTGACATTTCCATGGTATTCAAGCACAGGCACTTGTTTCGTATATGGGGTCACCCCTTCTTTTTCTTTCCACAAGGTACCTAACTCAATTTCAGGCACCTGCGCTTCAAGCTCGTATTTTCTTAATATATCAATCATTTACCTATTTTAACATGACATCTTTTGTTTTAAGAGACTGTTTTTCCTTGTCCCTCTTAGAGCATCTTTATAATAAACCACTCATTTATTCCTCAAAAATTACCTCAATACTACATTTTAAGATTCTAGAGGATATACAGGAACTTCCCTTGGGATAATAAATGTAGGATAAAACCAGAGACTTCCGAGTTTTCCATTCTAGGGCTTTTGGTTTTATCATCTGCTACAACCCTAACCAAGTTCCTAAATATCAATAAAATACAGCTTGAAGCGGGGTGTCTGAAATTGAGTTAGGTACCTTGTGGAAAGAAAAAGAAGGGGTGAACCCATATACAAAACAAGTGCCTGTGTATTCAAGATATCAAGTTTGGAAGTTCAACTGTACTAAGTTTGTAGGATTCTGACAATAACTAACTGACTGGGCCATTAACTAAGTTCCTCTTGCTCACATGAACTATTGATCAGCACAATATTAAGATATATTTATTACACAATATTTTAAGTTTTTTTTGTCAAGAATTGTTTGTGTAATCCTGTACAACAGGGAGAAAATGCTATGGATCAGACCTGGATTTGAACCCAGCTGTGTCAACAGGAAAAAATATGTACATTCAGGCCATTTTTAATTTTTTTTTTTTTGATTGCCCTCTCCTGACCAACTGCCTAAAAATGGCCCGACTCAAAACTTTTATTAACCTCTAAGAAGCAATAACTTTTTTTATGCATTCCAGAAAATAGATTACGAAAATTCATCATTGCTGTTGAAAATTTTTAGGAAAAAGAATTCTCACCCACCTACCAACCCATTTTTTTAAATTCCGAGTCAAAAGAGGGCAAACAAACATTATTTAAAGTTGGCCTTACTCCAGCATGCTAAAGGTTCACGGCGAGATACTTTTGACTTGGCGCCGCGAGATATATAAGGAGCGTAGGGACGTTAACCAAGGCTCTTACTTGTAGGAGTAAAGTTGGCCTCATCTGTGAAAAATAATTTGCTTCCACTATGCAACCTTCGGTTGCATATTACACTATACAGAGAAATGTCTGTATGTAATACTGTAGTTCACCTGATTTCAAAAACAACACCTGTAACATGTTGACATTATTCATCAAACAGTATACAGTCTCAAATAAAATAGCAAGTACTTTGGAAGAGAATGAAAAAAAAAGGAAAATTTGATGTTTGTAATATACAATTACATGCAAAGTGTGGTGGTCCCAAAAAATAAATTAGATGAATGAAAGAATTTACATAATAATCTGGTACATATCTGAAACAACAAATATTTTCTGAGGAAAATATCCTATTTTTATCATCGGCCATATTCCACATTCTCTTCTTCAACAGACACAAAATTACCCAGTAATCATAACAAGGAATGATTCAGAATGATTAATTATACTAAAATTTTACATAAATACATACGTCTTAGTTTCAAAATGATTTTACATATGTGTAGATAAGAGAGTTGATATTTTGATGGTTCCATCCATGGACCCTGTTAAGCAAACCTTTGTGTCCATATTAGGTGACCAGTCAACCGTGGTGAGAAATGACCCATGACCCTGAATATCCATGACATGTGACAATGATTTGTCCTTGACTTGGTACATGCTTCCTTTGGTCTTATCACAGGTCAACATGTACTCTCCCTCAGCATCCAAAGAAAAGATCTGACCCCGGGGCATTTCTTTTAGCCCTCCTGACATGCCGGACAAGAATGGAAGGGAGGCACCACTATGAATAGGCAGGTCATTCAGGGTCCCAGGCTTATGCATACTCCATTGTATCAGCTGAAACAAACAACTGGCTTTATAAAAATTGAATTAATCAGTAATAGCAATGTTTTTTTTTAAATTAAACTTCTATTTATCAATTCAAAAAAGACATGGTAAATAGGAAAACTTTGTTCATCATTCTCAAAATTTAAAAATCTGGTTGTTTTGATAAATGATAAATCTACAGCCACTTAATTTTAATTGAAAATATTTTTTTGCCATTCAGAAGGCTACTAATTGGAATTGTGAAAGCCATTTATTTAATAACCAGTTTTATGAATCAGATGACACTTTCTCGGCCTTTTCTGAAGTAAATGATGATGAATTCATACTATAAATCTTTTTATTCAAAAGAACTCTATTTTCTCGTAATTACACAAGACTTTCTACTCATGAAAGTATCATTCTTGAGTATATTTGTTTCATTAAAAATTATAGAAACAATAACTGAAATATGTGAAAATTTTGTCTTGCTTATAAATAACAAACAAGTATCTTGCGAAAATAAAGTGTTGCAAAAAATTAGTGATTTACAGTAATGCAGCCTGTAAACTTTACCTTTCCATCTGTGCCTATGCTGTAACAGCTTGTTTCATCAGAGCTAAACTGAAGGTTCTGCACCTCCCCAGAATGGGCCTCCCACTGCGAGATCACTTTGTGTTGCTGCATGTCAAAAAGTCGAATAGCTCCATCAACTCCCCCAGTCAACAGGAGATGACCATTGTGGTTGAATGAGCAGCAGTTGATGGCCACAGGGCCTGGCTGTATCTCAAGATGCTTGGTCTGTTTCATGGTGCGCAGCTCCCAAAGAGTTAGTTTTCCAACCCGAGCTATGGATGATGATGGTCCGATGTCACTCCCTGATCCTGAGCGAGCCCTGTTGACAGTGGCAGAACAAATAAATGCTCCACTTGAGGGACTAGAACTCAGACTCACTATACGAGGATAACTGGAATCTGCTGATGCTTCATAAAATGATTTCATCTCTTTGACGTCAAAAAGCCTGATATTGCCAGAGCGATTGCCTAGGAGTAACCAACGGTCCTGTTTGCTTGCCCAATCCAGTGAAAGAAATGCAGACTTTGACATCACTGTGGCACATGTTGTAGGTTGTGGGCTCCAAGACCAAATTTTGACAATTCCATCGATGTCAACACTACCTACATACTGACCCATATTACTAAATCGAGCATAAGATATGGCTGAGTGGTGCTCTTTGTAATCTTCTTGACTAAGGAGGAGAAAAGGACCCTGGCCTTCTTGTAGATAGTCTGACTTATCAATTACACTTTGATTTCTTGTGATCCCAGTAAAATTATTGTTATCATTCACTGGTGTTAAATCTTCTATAGTTTCACTGTTCACATAGCTTGACTTCGTGTTTACAGTTACTTCCCCTGAGGAATCTCCTTGATTTTTTTTAGTCTTGTCTTGGACAGGATTTTCTTGTTTTGGTCCAGGTACATTCTCAGCTGTTACAGTAGTATACAAATCATCAACTCTTGTTCCACTGGATTGCTTCCCTTGGTTTGGCACTGATTTTTGCCTTGAAGTTTCAATTGCAGTAGATTTACCCTGTAAGCTAAATGATCTTGAGGTGGTCTCAGGATGACCAGCTTTTTGAACTGCTCCACCACTACTGAGTGACCTATTTGTGAACTCTGGATGACCTTGGTTGGACGGTGACCCTGAACTCGGATGTTTCTTTTGAATGTTAACAGATTGTGGTTTACCTGCTTTTGCCTTGCCCTGTGACTTTGTTGGACTCTTATTATTTGATGAGAGAAAATTTGGCTTTCGATTGAGTAACGGTGATGCTGAGAAAGGAAATTTTCGACCAGATTTCTGCTGCTTCTGTATCTCCAAAGTATCGTCACCAAGGTCACTGAAGTCATAGTGCAATTCTACAGAATTTGCACCCCTCCTAATAGACTCCTTCTCTCTTATATTAGGTGTTTTTAGAACTGGTGCTTTGTCTGCAGAGAGTAACTGTGTTTTCAACATATCATTTTCTTCCTGCAAGTTTTTCATTCTTTTGTGTTCAATATCAAAGTTCAATAGAATAGGTGCAGGCATTACATTTATAATCACACTAAGGAAGTTGAAAAGTGATAAATAAAACATATCTTGCCATTGTTTTGTAAAATACATTGAAAAATGACTGTTCTCTTCCGGGCTCTTAATAAATGGGAAACAAAACCATTCCTTAAATTCCGGAACCTGATGCAAATCGTTGGTCATCTTCTCGAAAAAATCAGTCACTTTATCAGCTCTGTTGTTATGCGCTGCATTAACAACATAAAGCTTCAAAAGACCTACTTCTAACTTCCGTACGCTTTGAATATATCGTTGTTCTAAGCGACAGAAGAGCCGACTGTTGAGGTGAGCCCAGAAATCCCTGAGACTGTGAAGGTTGTAGCTCCCTATATACTGCTGAAACTGCTCTAAAATCTTGTCAGCTCGTAAACCTTTATCTTTATCAGTCTTTAGTTCGTACTCAAAATTTCTAAGAGATGCTGTACATCCTCTGAATAATAAATAATCCTTCACCAGTTCATCAACTCTCCCAGCTGCAGCCGCCATATTTTCTAAAACGAAAGTAGGTATTGTTAAGTTGTACGTCATTTAGTTCAGTATCTTCTGATCTAGAAAGAGAGAAAGAGAGTATTCCTGATATCAAGGAATTTGAATTCTTGATAGGCCTATAAAAACAATAATTGTTAGCAAAAACTAATTCCTATTACAAGAATTTAAAATTTTGGTACACATGATACATGTATCAGAAAATCATTTTCTGATATCGAAAAATCAATTTTCTGACATATCTCAGAAAATGATCATGATTATTTTTATATTAAAAAAATCAAATTTTTGATATCAGAAATAAACATTAAAAATGAATTCTTGAATCATTTTTTTCTTATATCAGAAAATTAATGTTTTTTTTTTTTTTTTTTTTTTAATATCAGAAAACGATTGTAATGAAAATGAATATTTCATTTAAAAAAAATCACAACATATGAGGAACATAGGAAGAAATAACTTTAATGTTTCATATATTCATCATGCAGCCTTAATGGTGGTGTAACAGAATCTACGAGCCAAACCATTACATTCCTCGATCCTTGCTTAAATTGCCTTCGCCCTCGAGGACACAACCCAATGATGCAAGTTCGTATTTGCCCCTGGCAAGACTTTCACCAGCAACTTCAGTACAAGCTAGGGTGATCAACGGCACCAAGTTATGTAAAGGGAAAGGATGTTTGGCTGGACCGGGAATCGAATCCGGTACCCCTGCGTCACTTGTCAGGTGCTTTTTTGCAGCTCTACCAACTGAGCATCGCAGGTCGATATTCCAAACCATTACAGCGGTATATAGATAGATACTGAGATAAATATATATACAAACTAATAAAAACAATTTATATAAAACTCAAAACAGCTGATTACCTTTGTAATTATCATAATAGAATTTTTGATATCACGAAATCATGTTTATTTTCTGATCTTAATAAAATCTATTTTCTGATATCGTAAGTCATTTTCTGATATCCATTGCAAGATCGAAACATCTCATGGAGTCTTATAATTACGAAAATGGCAAGTCCTAGGGCAGTGTCGCACAGTGTCTTTTACTAGATATTCTTCTAGTTTCCTCATTTAATTTAAAAAGATATAAAAAATGGAATTAAGAATTTAAATTTTCCCATGGTAAATAGGCCTAGTGATGTACCGATTAAATCGATTATCCAATCCATGGAAATGGTCCTCGGTTATAGATAATCGATTATAATTTTGATAATCGATTACTTAAAGTATTAGGTGAAAGGAAATTATTCCTTTGATTCTTGAGTCATTCTTATTTGAATTTAACTAAATCCTAAAAAATAATCTAATAAATGAACCCAATGATACAAAATATTTTAAAAAAATGTACTCTAGAAATCACTCCAGAATGTCAAACCAATTTATTCATTCAAAAAATAACAAATTTAATATTTGAAATTGATCGAATTTTAATCGATTATATGCATCGGATTATTCTGATAATCGATTATGAAAAATCCCGATTTCCCATCACTAATGGAAAATTATATTTTTCCTCTTCTTGTCTTTCCTTTACTTGTTTTTTTTTTTTTTTATTCATTTCCCAGTTTATATATATAGCCATATAAATCTATGTTTAAAGCATTAGGAAGAAATTCTAGCTGAGTGACTTGATAGCTTTGCCTCCTCAATATACATCGCAGCATATATCAGGCCCGCAAAAGGAACCTGGGCACGGGGTCGTGCCACCCCCCCCCCCAATAATTTTGCCAGTTTATACTTTTCAAATAGAAACGAAACGAGGCTGATTTACAATCGTCCCTTAATATAATATTAAATGCCAGTTTATTCTAAAAGAAAAATAATTTTTGGTTGTGTACCCTAAAAAATAACGTCTGATGAACTTTTATTTTAGCTTTTCAATTTCTGTTAAGTTTTGTTCCCTCTCGCAAACTGAAATTGATTCCTACGGGCCTGTATATAGATTTGGACGCAAATGTGAATATGTTTGCTATTATGGAAAATAGAGAAGTTAATTATGCAAAAATTAATTATTATTTATAACACTTCAGAAATTTTACCAAGGAGTGTGAGCTTCACGTGTTTTTTGTAATGTATGCACATGTTACGCTGATTCGAAACAAGTGCGCATTTGCACGTACATGTAAAGTGCTCAACATCTCGATTATATTTCAGTCTTGCTTTGAACCTCACACATGATAATGCTTGTATGCTATCTCGGGCATTGGAAGTTAATGTGAAGTTCGTGCGTGTATAAAAAGGACCTTTTTAAATACACACAGAAACTTTATTTTTATTTTAACTTCTAGTGCCCACGTGTGCTATAATAGAATGACAATTGTACGACTATTTTTTTGTACAAATTATCTAGTGCCAAGATTAGGAAGTACGCGTGCATGATGGGAGTTGTCAAAATACAGACAAAATATTGAGGGGTGAGGTAAGTGTTCCTGATTTGTTTTTCTCGGTACATTTACGAAACTCTACAAATATTTTGCATAATGTTGAAAGATATGGCCTATTGCTCATCGCCGTAAGCCATTGATATATCAGCATTAATCGTTCTGTAGACATATTTACGCGTATTATCTGCATCGGAGTCAGATTGGGCAGGTGTTTTGAACAGCTGTTAAGCAGCTTGTAAAGTGTAGTCTGCAGGAAAGATAGACCTGTGGATTTAACTGATTGCTCTAAATTGTGTGTTCTTTTTGCAGATATCACTGTGTTTTATCATGGACTTACAATAAGCAACTTGTGGTGAATATTCAACAGGAATAACATTCCTAAGATGTCAGGTGTAATTCCCATGGTGTCGGCATCCCCTCCACCCTTTGAAGAGGACGGTGGTGATGATTGGGATGCTGACTTTGGGAACTTCATGGGAGCAGACCATAATGTATCAGGACACAGTGAATCGGAGAACTGGGCAGCCTTCCCAGACTCTGCCCCAGTTACAGAAAAGAGAGTCAGTCCGTCAAATTTGTCTCAGGAAAATGAAAATGTACCACCCACGGAAACAGAACTTAAACTTGATATTAATTGCAGTAATGTAGTAAGCAGTAGTGACTCAGGGTTAGAATTAGATGGCAGCAATATCACAGATAGTGTGTCTCAAGAATATAGACAAGGCATGGAGCTCCAGATTGACTCAGGACTCTGTAGTACAGAAGTTTCACCATGTGATCCAGTGTCTAGAACATGTAATGATAAAGATTCACAATCTTTATCAACATTAACAGTCTGTGATTTTCCTGAACAATCTAGTCAATCATCAAATGATGACAGTAACGATAAATCAGAGGAAAATTCTGCATCTGAAATTCGTTTTAGTAAATCGGAAAACATAGAGACGTCAATTTCATTAAATCAAATGGATCATTGCTCTGAATCTTTTGAAAAAGATGCTGAACCTGATTCTGTTAAAATTGGTGATTCTGATGATAATGAAATGTCAGTTCAGGACATTAGTATAAATCAAGAGTGTAAAGACAGTGTTGTAGAGGACCCTTCTTCAATAGATCTCAAAAGTGAAAATAGTGAAGCCATTCAAACGGATGATAATGATGATTGGGGGGATTTTGGAGAAGTTAATGAAAATATAAACTCAGCAACATCAGAAATTTTAGGCACTGGCCAAATTAATGAGAAATCCAAATCAATTCTAACCAATAACACAGAGGAACTGTTCAGTGAAAGTCAGGAAGATCTTAGTACACCAAAATTAGAAAGTGAGGAAAATATAAATGATTTACCCAAGTGTACTGAAGAGATATCTGAAGAAAAAGAAAATTTGGAAGAGGAAATGGAAGCTATAAATGACACAGATGATAAAAACAGTGAAGTAGGTAAGGATAGGAATTCTGTTGATGAAGATGCTGAAGATGACTTTAGTGAAGCAAACTTTGCAGCACCAGATGCCGACTGGACCCCTGCACTCCGAGAGGACATTAAAGGTTTAGATTTGGAAGAAGAGGAAGAGAATCTTTGTCAATTAGACAACAGTGAAAAGAATGCATCTAATGAGGATATGGAAAACACTGATGACCAGAGAGACGTTGACAATACCCAGTCGGAAACAAATGTTGCTTCTGGATTGGAAGATGATGATGATGATGATGACTTTAATGACTTTGCAGATTTTGGCTCTACACCATCAAATGATTTAGAATTTAAAAAAGAAGAATTTATTATCGATGATAGACAGGAAAAAAATGAAGATGATTTTAATGACTTTGCAGATTTTGGTTCTGCACCTTCAAATGATTTAGAGACAAAAAAAGATAATGAACTGAGTAGTCAGTTTGCATCATTTTCTGAAGACTCCGCTGCTAACAACGATGGGAACTGGGCCTCATTTCAGGAGACCAGTGACAACGGAGAGGCTAAAGATGCTGATTGGTCGCCATCAAAGGACAATTGGAGTAACAATGATGCCCAGGGTGGGGATCAATGGAAGGAGGGAGGGGATGATGAGTGGCAAGAGGGGGGCGGGGATGATTTTGGGGACTTTGAGGATTTTGATGATGAACCAACTAGACCAATACAGAAGGAAAAGGTTTGCAATTTTGTATATAAATCTGTAAAACCTTTTAACATGGATATATAAATTCATATATTTGTTTTGAGGATATTAAGAGTAGGACAAATGTTGAAATGTTTTTACCTATCTAATCTGAAGCCAATGGTTTGTGTGTAAAGTTTCTTGTTTTAAACCTGATATTTATAAGATTTATGTTATTTATTTGAACCATGATTTTATAAGCCGATGTAACAGATCTTAAATACTGTTTAGGTGGATGAGCTATCTAACAAAGCTGTGTCAAGCTGTTTCCATGGTGATTCAAGCGATGTAGACTCGGGGGACCACCTATCAGCATTAGATAACTACGTCCAGAACAAAGATTCAGAATCATCTCCAGAGTAAGTTTGTGTCCATATCTCCACATGTACACAATTGTGTTTATGTTACAACACATCTACAATATTTTTCCAGGGTTCGATACTAACTTTTTAAGGCTTTAGTCCAGCCGGACTAGTGCTTCATTACTTTTACTAGTCCGCACGCGATTTTATTAGTCCGTCAAAAAAAAAGGGAAAAAAAAAGAAACATCAGTGTTTTTTAACATTAATTTAACGTGACAATTAATATACGTATTATTTTTTGAAATAAACAATAAACAAAGTATTTATGTGAAATTAAAATATTATTACACAGATTCATTGAAATCTCGCAATCAGCAAGTATACGATCGTATTCCCGATCTTGTTTTTTATTTATTTATTTTTTTTTTTGTCTTTACATTACATCCAAAACGTCCAAAATCTTTCTTTAAAGTGTCATACTAAATCATGATCGCTAAAACCTTATACTTCATATCGATCAGTCGAAAAATTAAGCGCTGAATTGACCCAGCATTGCGTAACTACCCGCCAAAAGCTAGAAATCTAAAAATACACGCGGGGTTTTCCAGTAAAAGTTGTCGAGAATCGGACATCGGTAATTTATTGATATTGTTTTTCAGAAATTTTTATTGGTCCGTTCGGACTTATTAGCCACATATTTTATTAGTCCGAATGAAAATGTATTAGTCTGAGACTAACGGACTAAGGTTAGTGTCGAACCCTGTTTTCTTTCAATATAAATATCAGTTAATGAATACTACATGAAAGTCTTGAGTTGGTAATTAGCAGTTCAAATTTTAATCCTGTAATTTAATGTTTTCATACAATTGATTGAAGTTCTTAAGAGCATAAACTTTTCCTGTTAATATAAAGATCAGAAAAGGCCAAAAGAAAGCAAAAATTTAAGTGTAAATTGTAATGTACTGGTATTTATTGCTAATTTTATTATCAGGAAGTCCTCCAAGGTGTGGGGCTCACTGACCAAACAAGCGACTGAGTCGCCTCTCAAGTGGTCCCAGTCAAGGAGCAACAAACAACTGTTCTCCAGCCTCAAGATTGACACCCGCAATATTGTAAGCTATTGATACAGGTCTGCAATATTGTAAGCTATTGATACCTGCAATGTTGTAAGCTATTTATACCCATAATATTGTAAGCTATTAAGACCTGCAATATTGTAAGCTATTGATACCCATAATATTGTAAGCTATGACAGAATTGAAAAAAACTTATTTATTGTAGTTTCTTGGAAAAAATTACAAAAAATATTTTTACATTTAATGAATTGATATCAGCTAGTATCTCTGTCATTATAAAGTATCTCTGACATTAAGTAATTTTAAAAGTATCTCTTTCATTTATTTGACTGTAGCTGATAGGACACAAAAAGCCATCAGTTCCAATCTATGCCTCTAACCTAACTCTCCTAGAACCGACTAAAGGACCAGCTAAACCAACTAAACCAGAACCAACCCTGGTGGACACCAATAAAGAGGAACCCCAGAAACAGGTAAAATAAACCAGGGAAGGGTATAATTACAGGAAAGGAACTGTGATTAATGGTACGATTAGAAACAGGTAAAACTAATAGGAGGAGCAGGGTACATGTAGTAGCACAAACTAGTGAAGAACAAACAGCAGAGAGATTGATGAGAAATAGTTGATTAGTGAGATGAAAAGTAACAGTACAGAAAGTAACGAGGTATAGCTGATCAGAAAATGGAAACAGTGGAAAATTCATTCTAATCAAAATCAGATGTTCTGAATTTACTACTGCTTACCCTTTAGGAAGAGTTAGTGGATTTGGAACATCAGAGTAAGGAAAATTCAATTAGACGTAGTACATGCCATGATGGTAATGCCCTGATGGAAAGAATTGTAACTAAAATCAACATTTGAATTGAAACTGTTTAGAATTAAAAGTTTATGTTCCAACTTAGGTTATACAAGTCAGTTAAACTTTATTTCGAACTGATCTGAAAGTTCCAACTACTTATTCTTTATGTATTTTACCCTCGATATCTCGAATCTTTGGATATCTCAAAGTTTTTTCTCGGTCCCATCAAGTTTGAGATAACGAGGTTTGACTGCTTGGGTTGCTATTAAATTATTCCTTATAATTTAATTTTCTCTCATGAAATTTGAAAAAAAAATTAGGACAATTTTCCCTTCAAGAATGCCTTCAAATGTACAAATTTTTAATGTAAAGTCAATCGAATTGCTTGTTACAACCAGAATTCAGTTATTTCTAGACATGTTTACATTTCTATACTGGCTTCATGAACTTTACATGTAAATCACAAAGGAGTATTCTACTTAAGTATAGTAGTGTGGTCCCTTTTTACACCCTTGGTTTACAGGTTAAATATTAGCCTAGTTACGGTATTTTGTTTGTTTTCATTGTGTATAACGAAGTATTTCTTATTGTGTATTTATAATGAATAATTAAACGTATCAAAAAAATTCAAGCCAATTTTTTTAAACCTATCAAACTAAAAAATGCAGGAACATTTTCCCCCGATCAGACTACGGTTTCTCTATTACATGGAAATGGGCGGAGACATTGAGATTAGATACTACAAAAAGAATATCTTGATATGATTTTTTTTTTTCCAAGACGAATTATATGTTCAAGATTCACAAGCACCTACAAATAAAATTTTCTGTTTACAAATCTTTGACAATAAAACGCTATAACAAGATGAACCAAATAAGTCCATGCTGACAGATATAAAACTGAGTACGTTTCAGCTGAGAGCTAGCACGTTTACTGGGGGCATTAACCCGTAATGATACAAATCCACGTGGCTTGTTATGATTCTAAACAGGTCATAAAGAGGTTAATTGCATGTAAATGAAGTCAGCAAAGAGATTCAAAATCAGAATACTTTTCATTAGAAAACAGAGAGCACAAGGTTGTTCAACAAAAATATTTCACTCAGTCTTTACACATATAATATACACATTATATTTCAAACTCGACTCTGAACAAACCTGTGCTTGGTGTTTACGAAGCTTTGAAGTATGTACGTGTCACTGATTTCTTTTAATATTCATGAAAATCAAAGGACCCCATCTTCAACATGCAGCTTCACATGCTGCCTTTATCTATTGTTTGACATTTTTAGATGATGATTCAAATAATAAAGACATTAGTTAATAATAAAATTTAAATTTTTAAATCTTAATAAACGTTTGAAAGAGCTAGGTTCACTTTATGCATAAAATGGCCCTGTAGATATACCAATTTATTGATGAACACCTTATGTTCAATTTTAAACATCAAGATAAAGTAGAGACTTAGTGCTTTCATTTCCTATTAAAATTTTTCTCCTTAGAGTCCAGGTCTTGGAAAACAAGCTTTATGGAATTGCAACTTTCTTGAATTTTAAGGAAAACAGGTATATTTAAGTACTTTCAGAGAGGAAAAATAATATGAGCGCACCCTCTGATCTAAAAAATAAAACATGTTTTGTAATCCTCAGAAACGGGTCCATCAGTAAATAATTGCATATTTTAGATCAGAGATTGCACTCTATATTAAATATCGAAAAATAGCTTTAGAAATTGGCTGTTTTTGTAGAATTGTTCAGGACATGAGGAAAATGACACATTTCATGACGTCATAATGCATTGACTAACCAGAAAATTACATCATTTTTGGTAGATTCGCAATCGCCAAATGTCTAAATGAAATTTAATGCATTGTCAACTAAAACTAAGCAATTTCAGTTTTTCAGAAATTTACAGGGCCAAAAAAGGCCCTAAGTGAACCTTGTTCTTTGACAAATAACCGGGGACCACATATTAGCCTTATTGAGATTTGCTCTTTAAAAATTTACACATTATTGAAAACATTTAAAGGGATTTTAATCATCTTTTGAATTCTCAAAAATATATATGCAATTCTTCTAACACATTATTATCATTTTACTTTTCAAGAAAGCACTAAACTCTGCCACACTATAAAGAGACTTAGGGGTAAGGTCGTTTTATGCAGTTCGAGTGATCTGCATTTAGATGTAAGATGAAATAAAGGGGAGTCCAAACATTAATGACACAATTAAATTTTTTAACATTATGTTAGACCAAGATAAAGTATTAACTGAATAATTATTTTCATGTATTTTGACTGTTTTCCCAATTTAAGTAAAGTACATTGATTTCTATTCACTAGTTTAATAGTCTAATACTTCATTGTCTTTGAACTTGGAGAAATAAGGCAGGTACCGTATGTTGAAAATGAACTAGATAAGCTCAAAATGTAGATCATTATGTGGTACAGTGTATAATTCTCTCTCTCAAAAAACAGAATTCAGTAGTATTTCATTTGTTGGAGCTTCCTTAATTAGTTTGAAAAACCATGACATCAATGATATTTCTTTCGTAATGGACTTCCAACCTGACTTCTGATTTTGAACCTCCAGCGGAGATAATTAGCTGACAAGTTGCAAGGAAAGCAAATGCTAAGCCTATGACAAATGGGGACATTAACTCATTGGAACAATTTGTTGCATTTAGTTTTCTCATGAGTAATTCAAGTAGTCGTAATTCAGTATTTTAATAATTGATTTTCAAAATATTTCTTTATTTGTTCCAAAAGACTGAGTGCATATCACGTACTAGAAATTTCACTTCCTCAAAGGTGTCCTACATCATTACAAATGTCACACTAATTCTGTGCTACTTCTTCAGTTCTTGATTAATTAATTAGTGCATGTCAGTTAACATTAGGAATATTTTTATAAATTTTCCTGGTTTGGAAAAAAAAAATTATGGTTGTAAGTGGGGACAAAGCTATTGCATTTGCTAAAGCAAGGTCCATTTTTTACTCCAGTCTTGCAGAAAATGAAAAAAAAAAAGTTCTCACATCCCTTCTTGTGCGCATAATTGCATTCATAATTTATTTATCACCAGTTCATTTGCTAGCAGGTATTGATCTCTAATGTAAACTCAGCTTTCTCACTCGATCAAAATTAAAAAGTATAATGGTTGACATCAGAGCAATGGCACTTAAATTTAATGTTTAAAAGATATACATATTGAAAAAAAAAAATTTATCACTGAGACATCAATATGTATATTTTTTTATGCCCCTGGATCGAAAGATCCCGGGGTATATTGTTTTTGTCCTGTCTGTCTGTTTGTCTGTTTATCTGTTTGTCTGTCTGTCTGTTGTCAACTTTAACCTTGCCCATAACTTTTGATTGGTTGGAGCTAAGACTTTCATATTTCACATGTGTATTTCTTGTGACAAGACCTTTCTTTGGGTATCATCATATTTGACATTTTGACGTGGAGTTTGACCCACTTTTGCAAAATTTTATGAGACTTTAACCTTGGCCATAACTTCTGAACAGTTGGTGCTTGGAGTTTCAAACTTCACATGTGTATTCTTTGTGACAAGTCCTTCCTTTGGATACCATCAACTTTGACTTTTTGACCTTGGAGTTTGACCTACTTTTGAAAAACTTTAACCTTGGCCATAACTTTTGAACAGTTGGTGCTTGGGGTTTCAAGCTTCACATGTGTATTCCTTGTGACAAGACCTTCCTTTGGATACCAACCACTTTGACCCTTTGACCTTGACCTAGGAGTTTGACCTACTTTTGAAAAACTTTAACCTTGGCCATAACTTTTGAATGGTTGATGCTAGGGCTTTCATACTTCACATATGAAATCCTTGTGACAAGACCTTCCTTTAGATACCAACTACTTTGACCCTTTTACCTTGACATAGGAGTTTGACCTACTTTTGAAAAACTTTAACCTTGGCCATAACTTTTGAATGGTTGATGCTAGGGCTTTCATACTTTACATATGTAATGCTTGTGATATCACCTTCCTTTGGATACCAATCACTTTGACCCTTTGACCTTGACAGAGGAGTTTGACCTACTTTTGAAAAACTTTAACCATGGCCATAACTTCTGAATGGTTGGTGCTAGGGCTTTCATACTTCACATATATAATCCTTGTGACAAGACCTTCCTTTGGACACCAACCACTTTGACCCTTTGACCTTGACATAGGAGTTTGACCTACTTTCAAAAAACTTTAACCTTGGCCATAACTTTTGAATGGTTGGTGCTAGGGCTTTCATACTTCACATACTGTATGTGGGCTTCATATTTTAGCAGCTTTGGCACAGACAACAGTGCGCTAATTCATGAATACCGCTAAGAAACCATTTATAAATATAATATACGGCACGGACATGTATAGCGCTTATTCATGATTTCGCCAACAACTTCATACCCAATGATTGCGTTAATTTTGAATATGCCAATTTATGTACACGTACAGTATGTAATCCTTGTGACAGGACCTTCCTTTGGATACCAACAACTTTGACCTTGACGTTTTACTTACTTTTAAAAAACTTTAACCTTTGTCATAACTTTTGAACAGTTGCAGTTAGGGCTTTCAGATTTCACAGGTATACTCCTCGAGACAAGACCTTTCTTTGGGTACCAACATTTTTTATCTTTTGGCCTGGATTTTGACTTGATTTGAGAAACTTTAACCTTTGCCATAAGCTGCCATACGGGGGCATCAGTGTTTCACAAACACATCTTGTTTAATCAAAGAATAAAATTGATAAAAACCTTTTAAAGAATGGTTATCTAAAGATAAGATTTTGAGCCATCATTTCCTTGCCAATTCACTTTGGGATCAGATATATGCTTCTTGAACTGGTTACATTGTCCAAGTGACCTGCCAAAAGAAATTTTTTGTTTGCCTTAGGTCATTAAGCAGAGGGCACACAGTTTGGTTTGAGGGGACGATAAAAATGCATTTTGCCCGAGAGCATAGTCAATAAACATTTTGTTATACCTTTTACTTTTTATAACGACATATTTTGCAATAGCTTCAATGTTTGCAATGAATGATGTAAATTTTGCTGAATTAACTCAGTCAGTTACCTAACTGTTGAACACTAACGAATACAAATAAGATATAGCTGATGCTGCCCATAGTGTGACGTAAAAATAAACATCAAAGCAGTCCAACATCTCTCTCAATGACAGGTCCAAACATCTCACCCAGCTGACCTGTCCAACATCTTTTTTTTTTTGACTGCTCATTAAAACACTGGAAATCGCAGAATTTATTTTTATACTATAGAATTATATGGGAAACATATGTATATCAATTTATTTTATACTGTTCTAGAAGACAAATGAATAGAATAGAAACATTGATATACATATAAAGAATTTAACATTTAATTTAATTAATTTAAGCCACCAACATTCAATTTCTTTGCAGAGATGGAAAAGTTGACGGTGGGGTTTGGAGAATGTTGAGTTTCAAACCTTGTGTACTTTAGGAAATGATATGCATATATTGGATATGTTTTAATGGTTTCTATGTTTGTATTATAGGACATCCCACCTGTCCAGTTTGATTGGTCCACTAGTGGACTGGTCAATCCTTTGCAAGGTCAGTATATATATGTCACTCTATACCAGTGAAGAAAGATGTAAAAACAGACTTGTTATTTGACATTTTAGTCATCCTGACATTAATAAATGTAATCTCTTAACTTATCAGGAGATTGGTTGAGCATTGATAAATGAAATTTAGAAAAAATGTTTGTTTGCCCTTTTCCAACCCAAATTTTTAACAATAGGTAGGAAAAATATTTTTTTTCTGCTTTAAAATATAACAATATACCCAAGGGCTACGATGTTCATTCGAGTCACTTTGGCAATTGCTGCTCTTCAAAAGATGATTTTTGAAATATTTTCCTCTGTATTACCAAGAAAAAATTTTGATCCAATATTGTGAAACCATTCTATCCCAAAGGGGTCATGACATAACCATACGAGAATCTACACTATGTGGGGATTCTGAATATCAATATGACTGATATGGACATACTGTTCTGGAGAAAATTGTTTAAGGACATTTTGCTGTAGATACATATTAACACTAAAAAAACAAACCATCTGATTTTTTTTAAAGAAAAATAGAATAAATAAAATAAATAAATAAATATGAAATAAAACGGATTAAAAGGTAAAGTGCTGATGAAAATAAAGGTCAGAGTTCACAGAGAAACAGATTGCAGAGGTTTTGGATTAGTTTTTACTGTATATTTAAGTGATTGCTGGTGGCGTTATTTATCTGGTTAAGTGGGTCAGCCACCTTAAACTCTTTTTGTTATTCCAGGTGACAACAGCAAGTCCTTAGACCTGGATTTCCTGGTGGTTCAGGAGACAGAGACTGGAGGCAGATCTGGAGGTAGGACTTTATTCCGTATCATTATACCACTCTGTGTCTGCGTTCTACGGGCCTCATCAATATCAAAACTAATAAAACTTTATACATTACAATAAAATACTAATCAGTTGCTAAAAATGCACTCATAAATTCACTTGCATTGTAATACACAATCATAATTTAAAAAAAAAAAAATTGATTTCTTTATTTAGGGGGTTGCCAATGTAGAATGTCACAATTTGTTACTAAGAATAGATAGTAAATATTAATTTGTTAGCGTAGTGGACAATTTGGATATCTATAGGTTATTATTAATTCCAGTTAAGTGTGCCGTTTTGCATTACGTCACAACCTATGATGACAGCTGCGCTCAAGGTAAATAGTAGAGACGCCTCCTAACTGCAAGCTTTATGACTGGAAGTTTCTTCTTATCCCTATTTCCATGTCAATGTTGATGAAATGAGTTGACCAATTACACAGCGGGGGCATGAATTGTTTACGCTGGGTGCATCTGTCGAAAAAGATCGTGACGTAAAGCGAACAGCACACTTAATTGGAATTAATAATATTTGGAACACACCTTTAGCAGCATGGGTTTAAAAAAATTGAAAAAAAAGTCCATATCAACCTTTCATGATATCCCATTTATATTCACTGTTTTATACAATAAAATTAAATTTTGATATTTTAATTTTACTTTAAAAAGACATACTGTATGTACTTAAGTCTTTATGCACAACTAAAATGTTTCCTGTTTTTAATGCACTGTAGAGTGGGATTGGGGTAAGCTCAGTGTAATTGTTTATTATGTGTTGGTGTTTCGTTGGAAATTTACAACTTTTTGGTAGTTTATGTTGTCAGATTTAATTAGGGCTCATATATTCCATTAAAAAATTATCCATGAAGGGTGGAATGCCACTCTTTTCTAGAACCCCACCTAAAATTGAAATCACTAAATTATGCAAATACCGTATACCAACTATCATTTGTGACATCTTTTATTGGCAATTCAGTTTGAAATCAATCCACCACTACTTATTTTTGCAACTGAGAAAACACTTAACATTAATACACAAGCAAATCATTGGTTTGTGGCAAAAAATATTTGCAAGCTAAAGAAGGTGGTAAAATTTGTGGACATTTCTGGCATGCAAATATAAGTTGGTTTACAGTATGTAGTTCAATAAGAAAGATGACTAGCACATATTTCTTGACTGTGCTAGGTCTCAATCATCCTCCCTATCCCATCCATGTTACATGATTTTTTTTTTAAATCTACCGTTGTCAGATGTGTTGATGGCCAAATAATAAACTTACACAGAGCTTTCAATTGTTATATTCCCAAAAAGATTTGCATAAGTGTTAATTGCAGATTTGTTCAAGAAAAATAAAAGGATGAAAAAATGCTAATTTATTGGATTTGTAATTCTTGATTATTTGTAGGATTTTATTACTTTGTGGGACAATGGCACAAAATCATTGGAAAGTCCCCACCTTACCCTATGCAGAAATAAGAAATGATTCAATTAAATTCCTCCACTCTTGATAAAAAGACACCCCCAACAATGACAACAACAACAGAAAAAAAATGGTTGACATCCCATCCCCTCTTTAATTTTACTGGAAGTGCCCTTATTCCAAAGTTTTTCTGTATAATTAGTTCATTTTATATTTTATGATGCTTGACTGAATAATTACTTAAATTTTTGGGGTTTTTTATTCTTTGCTTGAAGCTTTATTAATTATAGAGATATGACTTTAAGATTGTTTACTGGTACATGAATTGTATACAAGTTAGAAATGATAAACATTATATATAGTTTGATGTGTTTTAAAAGTCTGATGTGAAATTTTTACCAAAAAAAAACTTTAAACATGTAAAAGAGATAGAGAGATAGAAATGGTGGGTAGGAGAAATAAGTTTAAGACTGTGCATGTACAGGGTTGTCCCTAAGAATTAAAATAGCAGGGGACATTAAAAAAGTAGAAGGGGGTCTAGGGTTCCTTCCTTAACAGGGGATCAGGGGGAATACCAGAGTAACTGGGGGATAACATCAATATAGATGGGGGTCTTATGGACAACCCTGATATAAACATGGTTAAAATTCAGTTTATTGTTATGATAGCCTTTGCATGTTTTTCTTTTGGTAAACTCAGGGCCCAGGCCTATTCCACATCCCTTTCTACATGTTGTATACCTAAATGCAATGTCAGTGTATACTATGTGCTTGCTTGTTTGTAATTTATCTGTACATATATTATTCTTCTTCAGAAAGAAAATTTTGATGTGAATTCAGTTACATGGGTATTAAATACAGAAATAGGACACTGGGTACATCGTAAAGATTCAGGGATATCTAACATTTATAAAAAATCTAATGTTACTTCACTCCGTTTTTACTAAATGTCTATAAACTTATCCTCAATGTTTCAGTGTTTGACTCTGAGTTGATGCACGGACAAAAACCAAACCTTCAGCCATTAGAAAACATCCTTGCTAATCTGAAGGTCAGCACAGTGAAGAAAAACAGACAGACAGACAAGCTGGGTGCCGAGGCCACCAAGATCATTAAGACTTTACCAGATCTGTCCTTCATGCAGGCTAAAGTATTAATGTTCCCAATAAGGCACCAGGCAGAGTAACCTATGGATTATACTGTAATTTACAGCAACCCAACAGATACATGTATATTGTTGTTTACAGTAACCTATGGATTATACTGTCATTTACAGCAACCCAACCGATACATGTGTATTGTTGTTTACAGTAACCTATGGATTATACTGTCATTTACAGCAACCTAATGGATACATGTATGTTGTTGTTTACAGTAACCTATGGATTCTACTGTCATTTACAGCAACCCAACAGATACATGTATATTGTTGTTTACAATAACCTATGGATTATACTGTCATTTACAGCAACCTAATGGATACATGTATGTTGTTGTTTACAGTAACCTATGGATTATACTGTCATTTACAGCAACCCAACAGATACATGTATATTGTTGTTTACAGTAACCTATGGATTATACTGTCATTTACAGCAACCCAACCGATACATGTGTATTGTTGTTTACAGTAACCTATGGATTATACTGTCATTTACAGCAACCTAATGGATACATGTATGTTGTTGTTTACAGTAACCTATGGATTCTACTGTCATTTACAGCAACCCAACCGATACATGTATATTGTTGTTTACAATAACCTATGGATTATACTGTCATTTACAGCAACCTAATGGATACATGTATGTTGTTGTTTACAGTAACCTATGGATTATACTGTCATTTACAGCAACCCAACAGATACATGTATATTGTTGTTTACAGTAACCTATGGATTATACTGTCATTTACAGCAACCCAACCGATACATGTATATTGTTGTTTACAGTAACCTATGGGATGTACTGTCATTTACAGTAACTCAATGGATACATGTATATTGTTGTTTACAGTAACCTATGGATTATACTGTCATTTATAGCAACCCAGTGGATATTGTTGTTTACAGTAATCTATGTGATGTACTGCCATTTACATTAAACCTATGGGATGTACTGTCATTTACAGTAAACCCAAGTATTTACTGTAACCTATGGGATATACTACCATTTACAGTAACCTATGGGATGCATTGTCATTTACAGTAACCTATGGGATGCATTGTCATTTACAGTAAACCTATAGGATTTACTGTCATTTACAGCAACGTATGGGATAACTGTAACCTATGGGATGTACTATTTACGGTAAACCTATGGGATTTACTGTCATTTACAGTAAACATATAGGATTTACTGTCATTTACAGTAATTTATGGGATCAACTGTCATTTACTCAAGGTGTATTTCACCAACTTCTACAAGCATTTTCACACCCAGAATTAATAAGTGATTTTCATTGTAAGAAAAAGGAAAATGTAAATGTCTGAATAGATGATTGTTGATGATGTTAATGAAGATATTATATTTATGTCATTGAAATGGTGCATATGTTTTTTTATGTTATTGAACGGTTTTATTTATGACATAATAAAAAATAAATATCATGTGTGGTAATTGATGTCCCATAAAGAAGTAGACATTTTTGATGTGTATAACATTTCTAATACTGTTAGGTGAACATATGCAATATGTTAAACCTACGATATGTATTATTGAGTAAACAAGTCAATTTTGGCATTTGTTAATATTGTCTGAGGACTGATCATACTGTATTTACCTTGAAAAATTGAATTTTTATTTATAAAACATTTTATCCTCATCATTTATTGAACCATGTATTATATGAACCTTATATAATATGAAATAGCCAGACACTGAAGCTTTTCTCAATATATATATATTTATATATATCATGCTTTTTCACATACTGTTCCCGCTATTCTGTACCAAGCCCCCCCCCCCCCCCCCCCCCCCCCCCATTTTGTACCACACATTCAATAATACATGAAAGTTTTTGTTTGTTTACAGGTCCAACTGTTGCTGATAACTTACTGCATTTATTAAGTGAATTTTTTGCCTTATTTAAATCTATGTATATATCAAACATATCACTGATGCCCCATCTTCTGCAGATGTGTACATGTTTTTGAATTTTTGTTCAAGCCAACAATCTTAACATTCCTCATTACTTAATTGCCAATCTTATAATTAACATCATAGCAATAGAATGAGGTATTGGACAGAAGTTTGGTTCTATCCAATACCAGGAATTTGTTGAACTCAGTCCACAGTCATACAAACTTATTGTGATAAGATTTATACGTTCCAACTTCAATATCTCGGAGTCTGGGATATCACAAATCTTTTGTGAGATCTTGCAGAGTTCAAAATATCAAGTTTTGACAGTAGACAACACATTCCTTTATTTAAAGAGGCTCTAAAAATACCTCATTCGTTAAATCATTTTGGAAGTAGGTTTAATAAACAGAGATTTTAATTTCTGTTATTGTCTACTTTTTTGCAAAATTTTGTGGTTTCAGTCAAATTATCAAAAAATGGACTGCAAAAATAATCACGTCTATAACTTTGATATTGCAGACTGATGGACAGCAAAAATTTTAAATGCTACCTTGAAGGATAAATTTGCCAAAAAAAAATTGTGAGCAAAAATTTAGCCTGTACAGATGTACGTTGAAGATATCTCTGCTTCTATACTTTTAGGAAGATACTGTAAGTTGTGTACCATCTATATGTGTTCTTTCGATTTAATTTTTTGTTTTGTATGCAATACTTAAAAGTACATGTAATTGAAAAATATTTAATTAAGGCATTTTGAATGTGTGTTATGACTACAATTAAACTTCAGTATTCAAACACAGATATCTTACATATCAAGGATATTTCAGAATAAGTCTACAACCCAAACTGTATTGCAAGGTTCAATTTAAGTATCTTGAAACCTTTGATATCTCGAAGTATGATGTCAGCCCTATTGAGTTTGGTTTATCCAGGTTTGACCGTCATTTAGTAAAGATTAAAAGAGTAATTGTAAAGTTTTATCTTTGATATCTTGAATCCTTAGATATCTCGTATGATATCAGTTATATATGTACTTAGTTTGAGATATCCGTGTTTGACTGTTATTCAGTATAATCATGGATACAGAAGTCTTTGAGTTTTAACTTTGATATCTTGAACGTCAGATATCTCCAAGTGTGATATCAGTCCTACTGAGTTTGAGATGTCTTTGTTTGACTGTTATTCTGTTTTAAAGCATAATCAGTGACACTAAGAGATAGTGCCAGTGTTAAGTTAAAACATGAAATATGTATAAAAGTCTAAATGATTTCAAAAATAAATAAATGAAATATGAATCTCCTTGCATTTTTTTTTTTTTTTGGTGTTGCAAAAGATTGCAGATTATATTGATTCCATGCCTCCATTAGCACTGGACAGTGAAACCTGGTGGGCTGCGTGTAGCTGCAATAATATAGTCCTCTCCCCTTTTGGGGGAGGAGGGGCTACAACTCCTTAGGATCTCCATAATGGTGCAAGTGCGGGAGTGATTCAATCCCGCACAGATTTCGGCTCAAATTATTAGTAAATGGCTATTTTATTAACATTTCTTACCTGAACTCCAAAAATGTAGTTATGCAAGACATTTATCGATCCACAAATATACAGAACACCCTATATATAGATTATTTTTCGTGTATGTGAACACCACAACTTGAATTTATCCGCTTGGTGCAGTGGTTAGAGTGTTTTGTTCTACAATCGTGAAGTAAGGAGTTGATCTTAATGTTGCAAGTTCAAATCCTACTGCGGGATGTAGAGACCTGTCCATAGGATAAGACTGTATCGACCGCGGACCTTTGTCGCAGTAGATGATGGCACAAAAATTATCCCTCACTCATGTAACTTAGCTATTAGACAGTGCCAAGTACAGGTCTAAATTTATAACTCTCCACAGACAATCACAGGCGTCCCATATGAGTAATAAAAAACTCTTGAGGGGACGTAATGCAAATAAAGAAACGGTATAACCTGACCCACCAAACAAAATTGCTTTGATATATCCAGAATTTTTAAAATATCTATTTCTTGGTGTCACTAGATATTTCGTATTAAAATGCTCTTTTGCTTTCAACTTGTTTTACAAATACTGTGTAACCAGAAGTCTCTAACGAGAATGTAATTCTACTGATATGTACTTACAATAAAAGAGGAAAGCGTCACCTGGACTTGAAACTTAGTAGCATGGCAACACGAGTATACAAGAATTGTGATCACCTGTGTACCAAGTTTTATTACATTTAGACCAAAAACGAAGGGCGAGAGGAAGAATTCCATCAAAATCCTATTTTTATAAAACAATTATGCAACACTCATCATCTAAATCTAAACCCACGGACAAAACTGTATCTCGTGTAGTCTATTAGTGTACCAAGAGGAATAGCGTTTTGGAAGAATTTCGCAGAAATTTCTATTTTAATAAAAGATTGAAAAAAAAAAAAAACAAACAAGCAAACATAACACCGCTGATCGAAATCAAAAAACAATATACTAGTACATAGAATCATTTATCTTGAGTAGCAATGCTTAATTATAATGAAATCAGACCAACACTACACGAGATTTAGAGTTTTGAAAGAATTTCACAAAAAAGTTCCATTTGTAGTAACCATGGAAACTCCCTTTGTCAAAATCAAAAACCCGTGAACAGAATTACATATCTTAATATAGTCTAATTGTGTACACAATCTTTTTGAATCAAGTCAAAGCTGTTGGAGGACTAGCGTTTTGAAGGCATTTTACAGAAAAGAATGATTGCACTTAGTGTACAAAACGTGGCCCCCGGTAAATTGCGCAAAAATAAAGTATAGAAAATAGTACCATGAGATGAATAATGCGATTCTTCTATGTCTAAATCGCAACTTTGCGAAATTACAGGAATTAAAAGTCCATAAAAATAAAGAACGAAGCTGTGTTTTGTAAGAGGGGTCACTGCAATTCACAAATCTCCTTTGATATTCAAAGTTATTCCGATTTTTAAAGCCGTAATACATGGTGAGCGTATTGTATTGGACAGAAGGTGTATAAATATTGGAAATTCATCATATTTAAAGGAGAATTTTGGGGAAGCCTGCGCTCGGGGTAAACTTTTTGAAAAAAAGGTACAAAACACCGACCGTTTCCTTCACTATTCACGGTTATTTACATGTCATTTACCTCGTTATGACCTGTTAAATATTCCAATTTATCACGTGATTTGTAGACACGGGTAACTTTGTGAATACTAAAAAAATCAATAAATCACGTCGCTTTAGCTCAGATTAGCAATTCAGACCGTTACATTTTCAATTGATCAACATCGAATTATTTTTTACTCCCCAGTATTTTTAGTAGTGCTAAATATTGCTAAAATATTCATTATTTTGTGAGTAAATTTAACAATTTTTGAAAATTTCCTTATCGGTATTTTTTTTTGTTGTTGTTGTAATTTTGCTTATTTTTCTCTGTAATTTTGCTTACTAGTATTTTTTATTTTTATTTTTCTCCCCACCCCTTCTTTTTGGTACATTTTCTACAATTTTGCTTTGTTTATTTATATCAATTATGTATTTACGTTGACCTTGATGTAGGGAGAGGGCTAAAATAGGCTGATCCTTCTTTTAAATTCCGTTTACTTTTCTAACAAAATATTCTTTAAATTAAAGCTTACAGCTATATTGGTTTCAAAAGAGTTCAATATATACTTTTCAAAGGAGTTCTTTAGGTATGTATGAAATTCCTCTTTTGGTCAAACCCAGGCCCGTAGGAAGAAATTTCAGTTTTTTGGTCACAGCCATACATTTTTAGTTGGGGGCACTATCAACTACCAAAAATTCCTTGACAAGCAAAAAAAAAAGGGGGGGGGGCATCAGACGTAATTATTGAGTGGGCACAAGTGTATGGTAGCTATGTTTTCTACAGTGTTCAAACATATCGGCAAAATTATGGAGGGGGGGGGGCTCCATGCACCCCGATTCCTACGGCCATGAAACCAATGATAATAGTGGCATCCGATGGATATTAATATTGTTAAGGTATTAGGTCCACATTTGAAGACAGAAAAAATAATGATGCTACCATTCATGAAAAATATTTGACTAATGAGGGTTATGGAATTTTAAATCGGGCAAAATGTAATGATATTTTAGTTTTAGTCCTTGGATTTAGGGGTTCGCTTGGGGGCTCAATGAGTTTCCAAGGCATAGTCTACATCTTAGCAATAGCATCATTCCTCAAAATGTTTTTGACTGTAAATGTATAGGTACAGGGGTAGAACTACGTATAGATTTTTTTTACACTGGAAAACTTACTGGGACAAAAAAAAGATGACATAACAAAACAAACAAACACACATACAATTAATAAAATTGTTTTAGTGATTAAATATCACTACAGCATCGCAAAAAAATGTTTTGTTTTGTTATTCTGTATATTTACGGAGAGTGAGAGAGTTTTGTATTATTTTAAAAATTCGATACGACTCTAATCTTTTTGAAAAATACAGAAGAAGTTGTTTTTCTTTTATATTATGTTTATTTTTTCATTAAAATAATGTGAAGTGTGTGTGTTTACATGTACAAGTAGACCTGGTTTATTTAGTGTTGATTTTCCATGTATACGCAACTTACGTTTCTTAAATTGCGATCGCAACTTACCCTGTTTAAAATAAAAAATATTTTCGAAACAAAAGTAATGTCATTCACCTGTTTCTTTTTTTAAGTAAGCTGCTAGATTTTGTTATTTACTATATGACTTCAAGGATCTACGATAACCTACCAATAATTGGGAAACAGTCTGGATTTAGGGAGGGACTCAGTACATGTACATCTTCAAGATCTCTTTCAAAAAAAAAAAAAAAAAAAAAAAAAAAAAAAAAAAATCTGGCTTAATCCTCGAGGAGTTTAAACATTACATGTTCTTTGTGTTTACTTTTGCGTATTTTTTTTTTATCATATGCTGAGTAGTTCCCAGAAGCCATTATATAACTGGCTAAATTTACATGTTTTCAATCGATCGATGATTTAATGCCCCGCCTACTCCGAATAGTAATGAGACACAATTAAAACCCAGCTCGGACAAGCGCAGCATTCCGGAATTAACACCCACTAGTGGGCATTTTTAATTACCTTTAATAAAACTAAAGCGCCGTTTTCAAAGTAAATTTTTGCAAATAATGTACCACACAGATAACAAAATATGGGTTAGGTGTAAAATAATTAACATTTGAGTTAATTAGATGATGTTAGAGGGGTCCGAAAAAGGGGCCACGGCAATATGCTTAAGTGGAAACATTCTTTCTATTTCTAGTAACCATTGCAATGCTGTACGTCGAAATAATAAAAGAATGATACTAGTTTATAAAGAAGTCTACTTGCATGTGTACCAAGTCTCATAAAAATTGCATGAATCAAAAGTATACATGTTGTAGTGTTTTGAAAAAAATTGTTAACAGACGAACAGACAAACATGTAGACGGGGGGACAAGGGCACCTTACATGTATAAGCTCTGACCAGAAGACTGAATACTGGATAGAAATAAATATGCTAGAGATTTAATAAGGTCACATTTAACATCTTAAGGTAGTCTGAAATCTGAATTTATCTTTCATTGAAAAGTGTCTATTATAAGCTGAGATTCATGTGCGTGCTGGTTACTTCCATCTTTTTTAAAGATGCTTTTATTTTTTTCTCAGCATCTTCCTGTCAGTCATCTTTCGTATGTTGTCTGTAAAGTGTTCAAATCTTCAAACACTAAGACAAACTTTCAAGAAAGTATCCCTAGGTGAATTCAAATTTATTCAAAAGAAGGACTCAGTCTACTTTAAAGTGGAGAAATAGTGAAAAATGGGGGTATTTTAAAAATCTCAAGAACCACTCTGCTAAGAAAGACAATTATTGTGCAACAGTTTCCTGATCTAATGCATATTTAAACTTTTTCATACAATCCCTATTGAATATATTGTTAATTACAAGAGTCCCAAGGACCTTGAATTGCTCTTCTGATGAATTGTACAACCTATCACTTCTATTTGAAGCCTCTTATTATTCTATATCTTTAGGTAAAGCCTTGAAATTCCAAAAGTAGGTCATCGTGACATACTTTTTGGTTGACACACTCTGAGGATCCAGGATACATCAACTGACAAAGTTTGATTCTAAGCCTATTTTTATTTGAAATATTTAAATACAACAATATAATTCCCAAAGCTCAGGTCATCATGACCTACTTTTCAGTTGATACACTCCAAGACCCAAGATATTTTAACTGAAAAAGTTTGATGATTCTAAGCCAATAAGTATCTGAAATATTTAAATATACCCATAAAATTCCAAAAGTAGTCACGGTGACCTACTTTTCAGTAAATACACTCCGAGGACCCAAAATACATTAACTGACAAAGTTTGATGATTCTAAGCCAATTTGTATCTGAAAAAATATTTAAATATAGCCATATACCAAAAGTAGGTCATGGTGACCAACCTTTCAGCTGACTAACTCCGAAGACCAAAGATACATCAACTGGCAAAGTTCGACGATTCTATGCCAATTAGCATTTGAAATATTTAAATAAAGCCATAAAATTCCAAAAGTAGGTCACAGTGACCTACTTTTTTAGTTGACACACTCCGAGGACCCAAGATGCATCAACTGACAAAGTTTGATGATACTATTCCAAATGGCATCTGAAATATTTAAATATAGCCATGAAATTCGAAAAGTAGGTCATGGTAACCCATTTTTGGTTGAAATATTTAGAGGTCTTAAGATGCATCAGCTGACAAGGTTTGATGATCATAGCCTTCAAAGTGTCCAAAATATGTCTCTAAAACAGTTTGAAAATGAATGCCTGCAAAATTTAAAAAGTAGGTCACTGTGACCTTCTTTTTAATAAATGTGTTTGAAGATCCCAAGATACATCATCCTACAAGGTTTGATGATTCTAAGCCTCTAGTATTTGAAATAATTGAGCTTAAATGTTTCGAAAATGATTAGCCATATCCCGGTGACCCACTTTTTTGCACACGTCAAGGCCCCATGATGCATAAACTGACAAGTTTTGATGATCATAGGCTTCAAAGTCTCCAAGATATGCATCAAAATCAAATTGAAAATGAATACATGCAAAATTCAAAAAAGTACCTAAGATGCATCAACTGAAAAGATTTGATGATCATAGTCCTTATAGTAAGCAATATATCAAAGCATATTTTTTGGTCAACTTTAAAGTGACCTTGAAACCACGCCCTTTGTCCCAGGGTAATGTCTTGAACAATTTTTTACTCTTCATATCCTCATCCGTGTACGTAAGTTTGGTGAAAATCTGCTTAGTGGTTCTTGAGAAATTTTTTTTAGTAACCATGTCAGAATCATGTGCATTATTTATTTATACATATCTCAGGTTAGAGAATGAACTAACTTGCCACAACTGTAATTAATTTTGTCGATATATTGATGAACTCGGAACACAATTGATTTTAGCTATATAAGAAGTTTTTAAATGACCACGTGACAGTCAAAACCATATGTACGAGTATCTTTTAATGTAGTTGCAGAACTGTAGCTCTCCGAAAAAAAATTGACAGACCGGAATCTGTAATTTTTTTTCGGAGAGCTACAGTTCTGCAGCTACTTTTAATGTATAATTTAGAAAACCTCAATTAAACGGGGAACTGCATCGATTTTCGTCTTTACAAAAATCACCAACTACAAAATGAATAAGTGATATAGAAATTTTCTTCTTAATAATGGTACACCATGAAAATATACGTACTAGAACTTAATACTGCAGTCATTCAAGGATCATGCATTTTTATTAAAAATACATTTTGGCTTATTCTGCTAATGTTTGAATTGTAACAAGAGACAAGACAACCCCCCCCCCCCAAATAAAAGAGGGAGAGAATACAATATTCTAATACTAATTACCATTTCCCCCCGTAATTCTTAATGAGGCATCCGTAGTTAGACACCGTAAAATAATAGAGTGATGGCATTTACAATAATGAACCTCAAAGAGAATTTCAAATGTACGTTTGCTAATTAAAAAGCATCTTGTCTACACCTTTCTATACTTAAGTTTAACTTACAAGTTTTATGTGTTTCTACCATTTCCATTTAAAAATTTCTCTTGATTGAGTGCCGCAGGGCCGTCATAGGAAAACAATTGTTCATGCAATTGAATAAAAGCGACTCGGTAAATCAACTGCATCATCGGAGCGATGGGATAGATATATAAATAGAAGCTTTGGTGACAACGTCTGGATGAATAAGATGGCCTGTCGATCAGAAACAGAAAATATGCACGACTAGCGTAAACAAGAAATACTGCCAACATCAGGAGATAGAATCTCCACGATCTCGATTCCTGCCCGATTCCTGGGAGAAAAAAGGGTAACCTAGTGAATGGAAACCTTTCAATTAGTTGGATTTACTTTTTTATATTGTGGTATTTTCCAAAAAATAAGACTCGATGCCTTTGAATTGTTTACAAAAATATGTACTTTATAAACTAGTGACGTTTGGAACACTTCTTATAAAACTACTAATGTTTGGAACACCTGCCTTTCGAGACATTTGAATAATGTCACAAAGAATTGATGTAACTTAAGAAAAGTTTACATCTTTGAAATTTTAATTTCCGTTTGACTTTAGAGGATGACGTCAGAAGGTCCTGGATGGAAGCGAATGGTGGTTCTGCTAGTTTTGGTGGTGGTGTATTTGTGTGTGGGAGCCGCTATCTTCAGTCATATCGAGGGCGATCCAGAAATAGAGAGACGCCTTCAGTTAGAAGCCTTCCTTAGAAACTTCATAGGTAATTACTATATATCCATTACTATATCTTGTAAACAGCTTGATATTTTTCATCCTTTTTTAAATATGTAGAATTCCTTTCAATTATCTGTAATAAGCCTATTATCTGTGGAATGACGCAATGTGAAAAACCATTGCCATGTAGAATTCCGCACCATTGTCCTTCAGAAGAATTTACTCCTAATGTGTAGCAGAAATAGGTTTCTTTTATTCCGCACAAAGTAAAATATTAAGGTAAAATCCGGGAGAACAATACTCTTAATAGGTGTATTCTTGCTAAAATTGTCTGGAATGCTTGTCCATCTAAAACAAGGTAGTTCAAGGATGATCGTACACTCACGTGTTCCGAGGCATAAGAATTAAGTTGCACGTGGAAGCTAATGAAAAATATGTAGAAACACGCACACAACTAATTTATTTTTATTCTGCGTTTTCATTGCTACAAGTTCGCGTCGATGCAAGTGTCTTTAAGGGGAGAAGAAATGTTCTTTGAAGTTTATTTCAATAGTAATCTTTCTTTAGATTTCATTTTAAAAAAATAAATTACGAGCCACCGATCTATATTCCACATATCGCCAACTCTTGTGTAAAAGCCCGTATTGTTTTGTAAAGGCTTATTTGTGATTTCGATCAAAGTTTTTTTTATCTTTTAGATATCCAGTATTATATTGCACAAATTTGAAAATAACTTATTTATTGTTAATAAATATGGGATATAATTGTTGCCATTGCAATGCCAGTATTCAATGGATATATATCTACATCAACTGAAACACATGCAGGCACCTCCTCCCTCCCCCTAACACTCAGCCCACCCCTCCCCCTTACACTCATCCCACCCGGTGACTGTTGAGCCTCCCCCTAACACTCAGCCCACCCCCACCCCCACCCCCCAACACTCAGCCCACCCTTACCCCAACACTCAGCCCACCCCTCCCCCTAACACTAAGCCCTTTTTTCATAAATTGTCTAAGACATAAAAAAATTCGACCCCCCCCTTTAAAAAAATCTAAATAAAAATGTACATATTCATAATGTTAATGCACCCAAACATTGTATATCAATCAATTTAAAAGTTCAAACGGGAGTGTTAATTGATTACTCATTAAGCTAGACATACTGGGTACAGGATAGCATTATGCTTTGAGCATGTTGAGGTAAAAAAAAAAATCATGCATAGCATCGCCTAGATAAAACTACAATATATTCTTGTTGTTAATTTACATCTTTTATTTATATATCTTCCATCTTGATATATTTGAAATGACCCTTTTTCCTCAAAGGTAACCATTCCTGTGTAAAACACGATGACCTAATCAACGTGCTAGGTCAAGTGGACCAAGAATTTACGTTCGCTTTAAACACTCTACGTAACACGACGGTATATACACAGTGGGATTTCATTGGAGCTTTTTCCTTTGTTGTTACCGTGGTAACGACCATAGGTAAATCATTTAATCATGTTAATGCTATATTGCTTTAATTTGATAAATTCGAAATACAGTAGAACTTCTCTTATCCCGATGTTGTGTATCCGGAATCTTGCCTATAACGATGTAAACCTTTAGTCCCTTTCAGTAAATTTAATTGTTTGAAATATCTAATCCGGAATGTTATCTAATCCAGCCAATTATGAAACAAGTGATGTTCGGATTAGACAAGTTTTACTGTATTTCATATGCAAAGATAAGAAAAGTGAATGGTATTTCTTAAATATACAATGTTTGAACGCTTATCATCCCACAAAACGAGAAACCTACGAATAAACAAAAATAAAACATAATTTAGCATGATAAATATTCAAAGCAAATGAGAGAGAGAGATAATTCCTGTACATTATGATAAGAGGAAGATGATTAATTGCATACAAAAAAAAATTAGCGTAACAAGTACACGACAATCTAGAAACCGTGTTACTCAGTACTAGTATAATACTGTCAAGTCTATTTACATCAACTTACAAACCCTACGAGAATCTTGCCAGCAGCTTAGTTACGTAGGGTGAAAGTTAATGTGTGCCAAGACAGACATGTGTCGCATGCCATAGCAAGATTTAGGATTATACAAAATCTGACGGACATCTGAAATGTTTGGTTCTACCTTAAATACTTAGTATTGGGGAACATATTCAAGTAAACTGAAAATTGTTAAAAAGGTCTTATTTAACAAGTATCACAGGAACTAAATATCCTGATCCTAAATGTAAGTCCTACATCTCGCAAAATACACATTTTTTTAAAGCAGGCTTAAGGTCAAGGTCATTAATTTCGGTATTTTTGTGGCATGTAAAATAGATTCTACACGTTAATATCAAAACATATCATATTACCATATCATGTTGCGGACTGTTTCAATCAAATCAGTTAAAAGAATAATCAAGTTTGATTTCGTATGGTCAGTAACTGGTAACACATACAGCAAGAGGCCTTTGTCACAACACAAGACAGACGGACGAACTCTACGATCAGAAACGTTTAAGTCAACCTTTGGCTAAGGCGAACAAATAAAGGGAAGGATCTTAGACTGTTGATTGACAATATACAGTGCCGTATATAGGGGCACAAAATTTTCAGGGGAATAACGATAAAAGAATCGTTTTAATCGTTTTTTCTCTGTCAAAATAGAAAGAATAGTAGGGCCAATAATACTCGGGTAAATGCTGTGGCCCATGGGCCTATTATAAAGGTATGGACTCTCGCACTTCAAATGAAAAAGTGCAAAATTAGTTTTTTCTAAGTCTAAATCTAATTCTGTACAAAGACATTTTGACGAGCAATACACATGCCAGTTATCATGACCTCGAAGTCAATCTCAGCTCAGCTTGTAGGTTTTTAGGTCAAAATGTATTTTAAAATTTGTTGTGACACGCCGTATACATGCCAAATATCAAATTCCTACATGTATCTTAAATGGCGTACATGATAAAAAGACGTGAGAAACGTCAACGACAGATGTTGAACAAAATTTTCCTGTATTTTGTACCTTTAAGGATATGGTAACTTGGCACCAAAAACGTACCCCGGTAAAGTGGCTCTGGTGGTTTACGCCCTCATCGGAATCCCCATCACCCTCATCATGCTTAACTACCTGGGACAGCTCCTGACACGCCTCTCAACTAGGGTCAACAAGTGCAAACTATGCTCGACAAAACCTTTGGTGAACAAACTGCTGAATATGGTTCTCATTGTTACCTTGGGGCTCACCATCTTGTTCATCCTGCCGGCCTCTGTGTTCAGTTACGTCGAGGACTGGACTGTTTTGGAAGCACTGTATTACTGCTTTGTGACTCTCAGTACTATAGGATTTGGGGACTATATAGCAGGTACGTTGCATTTGAATACTTAATTAACATACATGTACAGTCGAGTCACCTTCATCCGGCCCGATGCTTGGTTATTATGTTGCCGTCCAAATTGTTCGAATTAATCAAATGAAAATGAAATGTTAATAAAACTTTCGGATTACTGAAACATACTTAGTACATGGTATAGACACTGTGTATAAATAGTTTTCAAGAAATTTCGTTAAGAAGTTGAAGTGTTCCGGACCGGAACTGACTGTTCGGATTATTGGTACCAGGATTAACCAGGTTCCCCTGCACAAGGTATCAGGAAACATTTACAAGTACACTTATGTATAGCCCTCAATAGTGGGGCAGATATTGGCTTAAAGTTTTAAATTCATTTTTCAAATCGCATTAATTGTGTTTACATTTAATATATAGTTGTTTTCCTTTTAAAGTCATGAAAACCTAACCTAAAACCCAATGAAGCTCCATGTTCTATTCGAATTGTCAACAAAAACGTCATTTCTGGGAAAATAGATTGAACTTTTATAGACGAGTCTACAAACAATACACAATTATATTTTGATACTTCATGCACCATAAATAAACCACACAGATGTAAATTTTCATGCTTACCGAACTTAAGTTGTAAACACATCTAAGTGATTGAAGGTATCATGAAGGGAAAAAACCCAATGAAAATACAGTTGAACATCGATATCTCGAATACCACGTAAATAACCTATTGAGTTGTAAGTCCCAACCACTTGGTCTTAATATACTTTTACTCCAATGTGCTTTACCCGACCCATCAAGTTCAAGATGACGAGGTTTGACTGTACATACATATAAACAGGGTGAACATTGAGGTCCTCGGGTGTTCTATTTAAGTTCCAATAACAATGCAGGAGAAAATCAACGTCCTCTGTATCAATTCGTGATAAAAAAAAAAAAAAGAAGACATATATGATCATTTTTATTTACAGCTATTTCAGAAAATCGCATTGGACACCGTGGTACGGGCGACCTGTATAGGATAGTGACGTATATCTGGATCTTGTTCGGACTGGCTTACTTGTCCCTCTTAATTAATTATATCTCTAATGTTTTCATCAAAAAGGCCGAGGAAATGGAGCGACTTACAAAAGAAAAGCTGGAGGTAAAAATATCATTATTTATTATAAAGGGGCATATCCTGGAATTTTTTTTAATTTTGTTATCTCTGTAATATGTTTGCTACCGTATATACTCGCCTATAAGTCGGTCCGCCTATAAGTCGGTTGTATTTTTTGAGGTTATTTTAGAGGAATTGGCAATTGACCCGCTTATAAGTCGGTGCAACTTTTTGCCAGAATCAGTTGACAATTTCAAATGAACGCTCTAATGTTTTAACCCGGTTTCGATTAATATTTTTGGAAATGACACCGATATTTAATTTTAAATCATTAAGAAAAATACTAAATGCACACTTAAGATAAAAATAAAGCTATTAAAATGTGTAAATGCTTGTACTTTATGTATAATCTTAGAATACATAAATGATATAATATATCCAGACTTTGTTCAACGATAATCCTTGGAAATGTTTATATAATACTTCATTTCGCTGTCCAGAAAAATACTTATCATTTTATGACTCGCCTATAAGTCGGACATAGAGTTTTGGACCAAAATTTAACTCCCAAAAAAAAAACGACTTATAGGCGAGTATATACGGTATATACTTGTAGATGTATATCAGACAGCTAAGAACAATTTTAATGAAATTATACATTATTTGCATGATCGTGAAGGAAATATGAAGATTTTATTCAGCCAAGAAAAATTATATTCCCCAAGGGCTTTCTCCCTCTGTTCTTGGCTGTCAAATACTGACTAGTTGTAGCGTCAAATTGTTACTGGACGAATTGAATAACCAAAGAAACTTCATCTTAATATTTCATAGAGTTCCATCAAGTTTCCGTTGATTAACATGACGTCGAGGTCCAAATGTGATCCAAGATATAATCATAATGTTTGTACCTCCAAATGTTCTCTTTTAGTCTGAAAAACGTTTATTTCTATGTCTATGGATGCGTTGACAGTCACACGCTTGGAGATTTAGACCATAATGTCCTGGTTGCCTCTTCGACGGTTCTGTTGACCATATAGCAAAAGCACCCCAAATACAGTTGCAACCAGCTGTTGCGTTGATCCTGCTAGAAACATTGTAATAGCGCTTTTGCAATCATCATATCTTAAGCGAGGCATGACTACAACTCACCTTAAAATTTTATGGGTTTAGTTTGAGTGCTTTTTGTCTAGTAAAGTTTCCAGAGCGACCATGACCTTTAGTTCACGAGAAATCCTGCCAAACACAGTTTTAGTACTATTGGTCATTAGTTTGCAACGACTTGGTTTTTTTTTTTTGGGGGGGGGGGTGGGCTTGGGGTCTTGATGTTTAATTTAGGTCACAGATATCCCTAGTCAAAAGAAACTATGTATGAATAAATTTTTTTGTCCTATTTCAAAATAACGAGGAATACTCTCTCTTTTTCTCTCCTCTTCAGTATGAATGTCATAAACGTACGCGTATACACCGTTGATGCCAATCAACATTTAGTTGAAGCACCCGTGTTTCCAACAGTTAAAACCAAATTTCAATGGAATACCAAAAAAAAAAAAAAAAAAAAAAAAAAAAAAGGTTTGGCGTAATTATTGATTCAGGAAGAGGATTAACTGATATGTCTCGGCAAGAAATCTCAAGTTTACCATTTGTTTCCCAAGTCCTTATTTTATCAGATTACAATGCGAAATAAAATCAATCAAATATTTTCCTTATTTCTTCTTTATTTTCAGGCTGAAATTTCTAGATTACAACAAGAATTAGCAAAAACTGGAAAATCTGTGTGTAAGACAGCAGCAAACGTTAAATCCAGCGTGAAAGGCAAAATGTGGGAGGCGCCATCTGGCAACAACAACGGCATTGATCAAGAAAGCGGAAGTGTAACTCTGCTCCGTATAGCTCAGCTGGAGGAAACTTGATTATATTTATAGTGCAATCCGTCCTTTGTATTTGCGAGAGAGAGAGAGAGAGAGAGAATTGAAATGAATCTGTACTTTCAAGTTAGTATTATAAGTGTAGATAAATATGAAACAGTGATCAATAAATGTAAGTGTATGATGGCTAGAAGACCCACCTCTAATAGACTCCGCATCCTGTAACACACATCCTGTAACAATATCTATATAATCAACCCTGAATGATACCTCATTTTCATTACATTTATTCTATGATATATGGAATTTCTTCGAAGTCTTGCCTTTTGATATTTAATTAAAAAGATCCATTTTAGCGTATATTGGTCGTATACGATGCTAATAATGAGAGACTTTTTACATTCCACATGTATTTTACATTAAAAGTGTGTGGAAAGCTACGGCATTCAAAACACTATAACACGGACGGGGAGATATTGTGCTTGCATAGGGATAACACAAGGATTTTGAAATATAAATCACATTTGCAGACAAGGCAGGCAGTTAAAAATGTAAATATAATTAATTAAGTACTGAATTATTTTTTGAAAGATGTAGGCTCGCGCGTGTTGATCAATTTTGTTTGCACATACAGTTTTGAGACTACATCTAAAAAAAGAAGGGAAAAAGCTTATTCAAGGAAGCTATGTCCCCCGCTGAAAGTAAAAGGAGAGCAAAGAGGAAAGATAAAAATATCGACCTAGACCTTTCAGCTTTTGGCCTTTAAAGGTTTTTTTGAGTTAAAAAAATTCATGACCTTAAGTGTCTTAGCAAAAGCTTAGAGAAAACTACAGTTATCATCTGAAAACTATGTAGAAACATCTAATCTATTGACCTCAATATTAAAAGGGTTCATCTTACATACAGTAAGATTTGGAAATTGTTCGTATGTACAAATGCTCCTGTATTTGTATTGAATCAACTGGGAGACAAGAAAGCATATAAAGAGGATATCCAGTGTTTTGTAGTTGGATATGGAAGAATCTGGGGGGATAAGACGAGCCATGTACCCATGCCCATTTTTCGGCTATGCAAGAACATTTTATTGGAAAAAATCTCTCAATTGTTCGAATTTACTTGAGCATTTTAATGTTTACCGTAGTTTTCAAAATGATATTTATATTCTAAACAAGCTAAACAGTTGACTTTCATTTACTGTCACAAATGTCTAACATGGGTAAGGACTTCTATTAATTAATCTGCATATTGAGTGTTTACAAATATTGTGGAGATATTATAAAAATGTTAACATCGTATATAATGATAATGGTGATCTAGAAGCTAGAAGCGCTTTATTTAAAATAAATAAAAACGGGAATAAAAGTATTCAAATATCTATTATAATTTTTATCCGGCATTTTAAATAATTTTCTGTAAATAAAAGTTCACTACTACATGTATATATTTTATTTCCAGTGAAAAATATGTTATTCCTATAGACATTTTTTATGAAGTAAAACAAAATTAAAAAAAAAAAAAAAAAAAAAAAAAAAAAAAAAAAAAAAAAAAAATCAGAGCATGACCCGAACACTTTCCTCAATAAACGTCCCTTTAAAGAGCTCCTCGCTAACCACTAGACCACGGCGTCACACTTACATGTCTATTTAAATAGCATACAGTTCTCTATATTTAGCAAGCGTTTTTGGACATAGAATTTTTTAAGACCACGGTGAAAATTTAAGTAAGTTAACTTAATTTTTTATGTAGAGTGGGTCTTCATACCAAATTTTTGCAAGTGTAAAAAGCAACATCTTTCCATTGCCTTTCATTAATCGTTCTCAAAAAAATGGTACGATGACCCACTCTATTTAAAAAATGTAGTTATATCATCCAATTTATGTCAGTTTCTGTGAAAATTGAGCGTGATGCAATTTTGTTGTGTTAATCAGAATCATTTTCGCTGTTAGAGTATTCAGGTTTTGTCAAATTTGTATGCAAATGGTAATAAGCATTACATTAATTCAACAAAAAGTGAAATTTTTGTAAAATGAATTTATTGATTTTTTATCGATCGTTATGTAGGCATATGGCTCGGCTTATCCCCCCAGTTTCTTTATTTCACGAGTGGGACAGGATTTTTTGACATTTTCACGAGTGCGAAGCACGTTTATCGTAAAGTTTAGTTGTTAGCCATCAATGTCTTTTGCACTAAAACATCAAAATATGAAACAGATGTGGCAGACTGTTGTGTCTTTTATTTCGAGTTCAATATCACATATCAAAAGTAATTTATCTTTACAAAATCAATATGTCAACTTAGGTCATAATCGCAATCTCAAGCAAAACAAAACTAACACCAATTACAAGGAAGGTATACGTTTTTAATACAAATCTGGACCTGTATTTTTTTCTTCTGAAATATAAAATTGTTGTGAGAAGTTACAACATATGCTATCGATTTTTTTTAACTCCACGCAATAAGATATCATATGACCTCCTAAATGCCAATTTTGGCGTCATGAACTTATTTTCTTTAAAAAGTTGCGAAGTCAGCAATTTTCAGTTGAATTTTCTATCAGACAATATAGAGCACATGCGTCGCCCACAAAGATTTTAAACTATGCGATTTTTCTCAGAATTTTAAACAACATAAACGAATATTGAAGTGGGCGACGGCTGTGGAAACTATCTTCTTAAGGAAAATAACCCCTTTAATTCTTTCATGATTTTTCATCATATATTGAACTTATATATTTAAACAAAGAACAAGGTTCACTTAGGGCCTTTTTTGGCCCTGTGAATTTCTGAAAAACTGAAACTGCTTAGTTTTAGCTGACAATGCATTAAATTTCATTTAGACCTTTGATGATTGCGAATCTACCAAAAATGACGTAATTTTCTGGCTAGTCAATGCATTATGACGTCATGAAATGCGTCATTTTCCTCATATCCTGAACAATTCTACAAAAGCAGCCAATTTTTAAAGCTATTTTTCGATATTTAATATACAGCGCAACCTCTGATCTAAAATATGCAATTATTTACTGATAGAACCGTTTCTGAGAATTACAAAACATGTTTTATTTTTAGATCAGAGGGTGCGCTCATATTATTTTTCTTCTCTGAAAGTACTTAAATATACCTGTTTTCCTTCAAATTCAAGAATATTGCAATTCCATAAAGCTTGTTTTCCAAGACCTGGACTTTAAGGAGAAAAATTTTAATAGGAAATGAAAGCACTAAGTCTCTACTTTATCTTGATGTTTGAAATTGAACATAAGGTGTTAGTAAATAAATTTGTATATATACAGGGCCATTTTATACATAAAGTGAACCTAGCTCTTTCAAAACTTTTTGAAAACATCAATTTTTTGGGGCACAAAAAAGCCAAAACCAAACCTTCTACATTGTTAAAGGGTCATAAATCCCTGAAATTTAAAGAAAAAATGCCCAACCTTTTTTTTTCTTTCTAATAAATTAAAATGTATATAGCATATGAAGTCGTGACTTCAAAGCAGGAAAAATGTGAGAAAGAAAACTGACAGACGAAGTTTGTCGTAATGTGTGTCGAGACAAGAAAAAGTATGCAAGAGTTAAAGGTTAAAAAATATCACGTCATCGATTTAATGTAAAAATCAAATGTTAATTAATAATGACATATTGGGGGAAAACTTCTAAGATTGAAATGCCGATGAACAAATTCAATTGCACCAAAAAGCTATTTTAATCAATATAATGTCATTGCAGACTGTAAAGTGTTGTCAGGTGCGGATCCAGGAATTGAAGTTGGGGGAGGGCGTAAAAAGTAGGCAGGGGGTCAGTGGGTCCAGGGCAAAGCCCTGATGGGTTCTCAGGGGGCGAAGCCCCCGGATTCTAGAGATGTTGTAGGGTACAAATGAAGTCTACTGAGTAGACATTATTTCATTTTCTCGACGAAATTATGATTTACGCTAACTCTGACAATTTCAATTTCAATTGGTTGTACGTAACAGCTTCCGGCCGGGTCTTAATCATCGTGTCTTACAGGAATTAAAACAAAAATATTTGTGAATATTCAACAATTTTATTTTGTTTTTCTACTCGTATGAACAAAACATCACACATCATCTTTGCCATTTCTACACATTTCTATACATACATGCATTCCATTAATTATCACAGGATAAGCGTATTCTTTTAGTACCTTAAAATATACATCTAATCGTAAGCGTACCTTAGTAGGCTATTTTGATTGGTAAATTAATTATTTAATGAACAAATACGAATCAAAGCTGGTTCACAACCATTTTTGCTCACCATAATTGAAATATAATTACCATCATGTTTAAAACACGATTGAAATTAAGGATTGGCACAAATATTTCTGTCACACCTACATATAAAATGAATTACATATGAATCATTAAATCGGTAGGTTGGTCCTGCATGGACGATGCCGATTCAATTTTCGGCAAATTAAGGTCAGAACCCCCCTCCATATCCTCTATAACCAGACTGGGGACCACTATTTTACGTCCATTATGGGTTATGGTAGAGCCTACCGAATGTACAGACATTTTCTTAGGTTCGTACGCCCAACAGTCGTCTGCAAACATGTCCGAGTTGAGCTCGAGCTGTTGCATGATGTCCACCTGTTCCATTCTGCTGTCTGTCTGGTTGAGTTTGTAATCAGACGACAACGAGGGTTCGTTTGGGGTGGTTGTGGACAAATGGCGGGTCGTCTGCTTGAATGCAGACGTCACTGTGGAAGAAATTTTCCTGAAGGCAGACCGAATATGAGTGTTCTTGTAGGCATAAAGCCATGGATTCATCACGCTATTGAATGCTGCAAGGTACAGAAGATAATTTAAAACTTCATCACAAACCTGAATATCCGTAAGAGCGATCAGAAGAAGGGTGAACTGAAATGGGAACCAGAAAACGATGAAAACCAGTATTAGAACAGCCAGCGTCTTTGCGTATTTACAGTCTCGGTTCACATATCTCATATGGATTGCGTTTGCTATGGACTGTTCTTGGTCATAAATAGCTCTACTTTGATGTTTAGCAATTGTAAATATTTTATAGTAACAGAAAAATATGAGCACACACGCCGGGAAAAACAACATACTTGCGAAGAGCAAATGACCACGAGGATGGATATGTCCAAACCCGCAATTCTTTCGCGGGTTCCCAACGGAATGGTCTTTTGTAAATGACATTGGAATAGATACAATCAAAGCTGAATAGATCCAAGCAGACACTATAAGACTATAAGTCTTCCTCTTTGTCATGATCTGAACATATTCTAGAGAATTCGTCAAAGCAATGTAGCGATCAAATGCCACTGCTGCTAAAGAGAGGATCGACGCACCACAAGACAAGATCAGCAAACGATTTGGGATCGAGCAAACGAGTTCGTGGTATAAATTCGCCGGCAAAAGTAAAGAGGTGGTAAAAATTGGAATCATCAGGGCCACCAAAATGTCTGCAGAAGCCAGAGATGCAATGAAGAAGTTGGTAGGCGTCTGAAGTCGTTTGAATTTCCGTATAACTCCGATAACCAGAGTGCTAAAAGAAAGGACGGAAGGCGTCAGTAGTGCTGTGATAACGATGTATCCGTAATCCGACACACTGAAATTGTGGTCACTATGCTTTGGTAGATTTTCCAAAGAGGAAGAGACGTTCTCCATCATTTCTTATCATATGACAAATAATCTAAAAACATTAAAATATTATTTATATTTGACCTGTCAATTAGCACCTTCACTTGGTGACGTCTTTGTTTATACGCCATTTATGGAAGCTATCGTTTCTAAGGCTTATATGAAGTTTTGCATGTCATCGACCTAAAATGTTGCAAGTTTTTATGGCGTTCTTCATATACCAAAACATTTATTTAACTCAATGGCACGCCTTCCATTGACTTAATTATTACTTGCTTGCAAATATTCGTTCTCCCTACGTTTTCTTCTGTTCCCCTACCCTTCATTACAGTGATCGAGATTCTCAAGTTTTTTAAGGAAAAAAAAAACTTCAAAAGTAAAAATCTCTGAGAAAAAATAATCTTTTTTATAGAGAAGTAAGAAGAAAAATAAAAATAGAGATGTCAATGTTCTTTGTTTCATAGGCCAAAATCAATATTTAGTATACTAGCAGTCTATTAATAAACATTTTATTCTTAATACAGGTAGTAAACAATCATTATTTTGTAATTTTAAAACAATCATATCTATGTAAAACCATCGAGAACAAGCGTCTTTTCGCCGTTACGCAAATCCTAATTTCTCCAAAACGATTGCTTCCATTAAAAGATTTTCCGAAATCTGTAAGCTGGTATGTGAATTGTTGTATATTGGACGAAAATATACGAAAAAAAAAATTGTCACAAAAAACACAAGTGTATAACATGTTGGATTTTATCTCACACTAACAATTTTATTTAATCGTTGAAAAAATTGTTATCTAAAATTCTGCTTTAGCCTTTAAGGCTAATGAATTTCCAAAAGAAATACTGAATTTAGATAAAATGCAAATAATTTCAGCATGTCTTTCGAGGCAAAATTTGATACAAACGACCTTTCAACTTGACAATTTTATAAAAATAATAATAGTAATTTATTCAAAGGGGAGTTATCTCTCTTATCAGGGGGGACAATGAACCTTAAAAAAGAGATGAAGGCCTCCAATAAAGTCCCCCTCTCCCACATGCACCATTTATGAGAAGTCTTTCGTCCTAATTTTTAGTCCCCCCTCCTTTCCCCTTTGAACGATGATTCTATGTGCCTGGTGGTCACTGAATTTTTTCTTAATTTTTTTTTACAAGAGAGTAGTTGAATAATATACGTCTGCTATTCTTAAATTTCCTGTATGAAAATTTAGCTCACCTGATAAGCACTGAGAAGATTTTTTAAAGGATGAATGTATTTTCACTAATCACTACTATTGCATGCAATTTTTTTTTATGATTTAATTTTCTCAGAGCCCCCCTCCCAATTTTTCATTGGTGTATAGAGTGTCCTTAAATAATAATTTTAAGAGTGAACATGCCTAGCTAAGGAGCAGATATCATTTTCAGTTTTTGCAAAATACATAGACAAATATAAATTATTAATAAAATATTCACAGACAGTGTAATCACAGACACATTACAGGAAATGATTTATTTAGCAGGATAATTCAGAGGACAAAATCTTATAGGCTGCACAAAAATGAAACTTAACAACTTGTCAAGCATATTGTCTGCTTAACATATGGGTAGAATGGTAGAAATGCATTCTACTCCTTCCATTTTATTTCTTTACATGTAAAGAAAAGGAAAACTTGAAACTCTCATTGTTTTTCACTGTTTATAATTCTAAAATACACCAGTAGCAAGAAGAGGAGGAAGAGTTTGCCAAATTATGATATGGACATGTGCCAGAAAATTACGCAAACAAGCAAAAATAAAGCTTCAGGGTTTTCCAAATGTTTGTGGGCACACAATTTTTATCATTTTATTTCAGCTGGTCCAGCTGAATGGCTGCATGATTTTGCCTTTGGGAACATTTTCCAAGACTTTTTTCCTTTCTTTTTGTTTTTTCAAAATTTTCTCTAATTGTTTAAATAAACACTAGAAGTGAAAGTTATGGGTCTTTTGGATCAGACCTTAAAAACTGAGGTCCCATGTCATGGTAGGCATTGGCACAATGAAGAACCCTCACTGCTCAATCGCTCTGAGTGCCCAGTATAGGTTTAAATTCAAGAAGCTCTTCACTGGTATATGGTGACATTTCTATATGAGTGATAAATTCTTGAATTGGATGTAAAACAACATACAATCAATCAATTCAGTTAGGCCATGGTAAATTACATATTTGTTTCACATCCCATATATCTTTGAAAAACCCTCTAGTTTGATAAAAAAAACAAAACGAAAAAAACCCACACATATTTAATAATTATCAAAATATTGACTTATTATTATGAATGATAAAGAAAGCTGTTACAAGCTATATTATTTACTTTTAAAGTGTGTTTTAATCATGTCAAAAACTGCAATTCCACACAATAACATAAATAAATTATGAAAAAAATGTGCTTGAATTTTAAGTTTTGCTTTCTAACTTGAGAATTTTTTATTTGTTTCTTTTTCTTTCAGACGAGGAATAAAAAAGGCTTAGAAATTGAATGGCTTCCAATATTTCTGAAAAACAATTTTTTTTTTTTAATTTGATGAATTTGTGTTTTTCTTTTCCTGGATTTACTGCAAACTCAACTGCATGGGGATGTATAACAAAGAATTAATTTACTGTGGCAATTGGCCACACATAAATTTTATTAAGTCTTGACTTTAAAAAAAAATATATGATCATTTAAATCATCCAAAAACTTTAAACATTTTTCCTTAATTATCAACATTTTATCTTGGGCCTTGCACTGCACTGCTACCTTTTTAAAATGCAGATTTTCATATAAAATTTTAATTCAACCAATCCAATCCAATCCAAACTATTCTGACTTTGATTTTTATAAGAAATATTTTGGTATACAAAATAATCTAAGACCATTATATATATGTGTGTGTGTGTGTGCTCTAACGGCTGTTCCATCAATTATACATACAGTGACATACACATCTATAATACAATATTTAACATATTTAATTTACTTTGAATTTTTTTTTAAAAAGATATAAATATAAACAATAAAATGTCTTTCTTTCTTTGTTAGTACGGGAATTAACGTCGCAGCTATTGCAGAAAAAATACACATAACCTGCTTACGCCAGTTATGTAATTTTTCTGCAACAGCTGTGACATTAATTCCCATACTAAAAACCAAAGAAAGCATTTTATTGTTTAAATGAACTAGACTGGACTCGAAAAAAACTCTGAGATATCTGAGGATTAGAGATATCAAGGGTAAAAAACTTAGTATGGTACAAAATTTGTGGTTAGGATATTCAAATTACTTAGACATATCCATGGTTTTCCAGATATCAATGTTCAAGATACCAAAATTCAACTGTATTTGAAAAGCAATAAATTGTTAGAATATTTCATATACAAGTACCATACCCTCACCTTAGCTATTCATGGATGCAGGTGTACCATTGAGTGCTATCAAAGTGTCCTTGATCTTTGGTATAAACTCGCAGTACAAGTTTACGCTCTCGGTCCATTTGTTTTTCTCGGATCTGGTGAATGTTCTCAGATTTTCAACAAACTGTAACAAAAGCTTTAAAAACCTGAAAGCAGAACATGATGCAAAATTATTTAAATACCCAAACAAAATAGGAATGTCCTAATGGGAGTAATGCCCCCTGCATTTCATCTTTAAATTTATATTTGCAATAAGAAAAATATTAAATAAGCATTGAAACTGACTGGTATTCAACTGATTTAAACTCCTCTATATTTGACTTCAAGATCCTTATGTGAATTTTGAACATACAGTGTGAAATAGCGTAAAGAAAAAGACACATTTTGATGTGTCGACTTGAAATACTCTGAAATTTTGAGATGTAGTTAAAACTTGTAATCTTAAGAGGCTTAGAAAAATGGGCTAAAAAAAGATATTCATGGATTTGAGATATTGAGAATAAAATACATAAAGAATAAGTGGTTGGAACTTCCAACTCACTTTAACATAACATTGATGTTTGAGATTTTAAGGGTTCAAAGTAATAGAGCTTGTGTGAAGTTGATTTACCTGATGACCTTTGATCCTGGATGAGTGCTAAGAGTATACAGCTTCCAAGTACAGATCAGTACGACCATGTGGGCACAGTGGTGAAAAAATGGGCAGCTGTAACATCAAAATATTGTAAAAGTACAGCATTGTGGGCACAGAGGCACACTAGTGTTTAAATGGGTGGTTGTAGCATCATTAAAACACATAAGTACAACAGTGTAGGCACACGGGCACTAGTGAAAAAATGGGTGGTTGTAACATCAAAATAACATATAAATACAACAGTATGGGCACAGAGGCCAGCTGGTGAATAAATGGGTGGCTGTAGCATCATTAAAACACATAAGTACAACAGTGTAGGCACAGAGGCACACTAGTGAAAAAATGGGCAGCTAGAACATCAAAATAACATATAAATACAACAGTGTAGGCACAGAGGCACACTAGTGAAACAAGAGGCCCAAGGGCCTTAACGGTCACCTGAGTATAATACAACAATTCAGAGGATCCACAGAGTATAAAGTGAACTGAAAGGTGAAGCTTTGTTGCCCAAAAGAGAGTCTAGAAAAATAGGGTGATCAGGATCAACAAAATAATTAATCTAGTATTCATTGACAGTTTATAAATAAGGTTCTAATCTGTTCCCTATTTATCACTATCATCATACAGTATATTAAAGAACTATCAGTGCTTCTGTGCTATTTTAATTCCTTGTTGAAATCTCTTACATTGGCCTCTCTTGGTCTTTGATGAACATTTAATAAGACAAGTTATTTTTGTTCCATTTTTATTTATCTATTACTTACAAGTCTACCTGATCATTAAAACTACGAAAATACTTTTTGTGTTATACAATAAAAATTCTTGCATAATTCTCTTATTCTTAGCCTTTCAAGTACATCGTTTACAGTGATTAATTATCAAAAGTAAACGGCAAAGGGGAATAACTCCTCTCAGTAGCATACAAATTAATAGAGCCCTGGCCAGGACCAGAACACTTAACCAAATGGTCCAGATGTTCAAAAATCTGGTAAAAATACCATTCCTTATTAACATTTTTAATCTTTTTGCCTCTGATATGCCCAGGTGCAGAGAAGATTTTTAAAGAAATAATGCATTTTTACTACAGATTCACTATCAATAGAGCCCCCCCCCCCCCCCCCTCCCCACCGAGAAACACTAGAGTCTCTCACCCTGGGACCAGAAGTTTGCTCATCATAAGTAATCACTTTGTTTATCTGCTTAACACTTAGGAGCAGACAGAATTATTTAATAGAATTAATGCATTTTCAATATATTATCAAGAGCCCCACCCTTACACCAGCACAACTGACCCGGGGTCATGCAATTCACTACTCTGGAAGAAGCACTCTTGCTCATCATAACTATATACTTAGCTTCTTTGCTTTTTAACCAGAAGCAGAAAAGAATATTTTCAACAAAATTTTGCTTTTTCACTATATAATCAATAGAGCCCCCCCCCCCCCCCCCACCGTTTAACAAGAACCCTTGACCCTGGGGCCATGAAATTCAGAATTTTGGAAGAGGCATCCTTGCATATCATAACAATGTACTTAGTTTGTTTAATTAGTACCCTGGGGCAGAGAAGAAGATTTTCAAAGAAAAAATTCACCTTCACTATAGGATCTATACAGTCCCACCCTAGAACCAGAACCCCTGACCCTGAGGCCATAAATTTCACAATTTTGGAATTAGGCATCATGTCTTATCATAACATGTACTTACTTGTTTGTTTCAAAAATACCCAGGAGCAGAGAAGAAGATTTTTAAAGCATTAATGCATTTTCACTATATAATAAATAGAGTCTGGCCCTAACATCAGAACCCCTGATCCAGGGGTCATGAAATTCACTACCCTTGCTTATCATAACTATGTATTTAATTTGTTTAAATAATACCCAGGAGTAGAGAAGATTTTCAAAGAAATAATGCGCTTTCACTATATGATCTATAAAGCCCCCTAGCAACAGAACCCCTGACCCTGGGGCCATGAATTTCACAATTTTGGTAGAGTCACCCTTGCTTATCATAACTATGTATTCAATTTGTTTCAATAATACCCAGGAGTAGAGAAGAAGATTTTCAAAGAAATAATGCACTTTCACTATATGATCTATAGAGCCCCCCCCCCCCCCAGCAACAGAACCCCTGACCCTGGGGCCATGAATTTCACAATTTTGGTAGAGTCACTCTTGTTTATCATAACTATGTATTTAATTTGTTTCAATAATACCCAGGAGTAGAGAAGAAGATTTTCAAAGAAATAATGCACTTTCACTATATGATCTATATAGCCCCGCCCTAGCACTAGAACCCCTGACCCTGGGGCCATGAATTTCACAATTTTGGTAGAGGGCTCAATGCTTATTACAATCATGCCAACAGTTTGACTGCTTGATGTCCAGGAGTAAAGAAGAAGATTTTTAAAGATTGCATTCATTTTGGTGGTTTTAGCCCCACCCCTCAGGCCCCAGGGGGGCAGGGACCATGATATTCACAAATTTTGTTCCCCTTCACACATAGATGCCATATGCTAAAATGGCTGAAATTGGTTCAGCGGTTTCAGAGAAGAAGCTGAAAATATTCAAATGTTAACACACGACGGACGACACACGATGACGGAAGAAAACAGATAGCAATAGGTCACCTGAGTGACTCAGGTGACCTAAAAATAGGCAGCTAGAACATCAAAATAACACATAAGTACAACAGTGTAGGCACAGAGGCACACTAGTGAAAAAAATGTGCAGATGGAACATCAAAATAACATATAAGTACAACATTAAGGGCATGGTTGTGAAGATACAGGCAGTGGTATCTAGAAAATTACAGATCAGTAAAATATTGGCAGCTTTAGCAAAATAGAGAGTGCACAGTTATAAAAATATCAGTAAAACAGTGTGCGTACAGTAGTGAAGATATGGGCCAAACTTACATGCAAATAACATAAAGCCATTATCACTTAATTATGAAAAATTCACATGAACCAAAACTGACGTCAATGATTTTCTTCAAATGAGCTACATACTTGTTCAAAATAATATTTTCAAACTTGGTTTGACAATAAATTTCCTTTTTTACATATATCTAATTATTCCTGCATGTATAAGTAAGAGGCCTTTAATGTCCAATCTGGAAACTTACCTTCTTATTAGACACACAACATTCTGACTCTGTCTGGATCAATCTTAGCTCTATCCACTTTATAGAACATACAAGGTCTTACCTTAATTTGTCTAGATCTGAGTTCTTTACTTTCTTAAAAGACATACAAAATTCTGCCTTTTTCTATATCTGAGTTCTTATAAGATGTACAAGGCTCTGCCTCTGTCCAGAATGGGATTTTTACCTCCTTATCAGACATACGAGGTTCTGTTTTTGTTTAGATCCGAGTTCTTACCTCTTTATTAGACAAACAAGTTTCTGATTCTATCTAAATCTTAAGACATACAACATTCTGACTTTGTTTGGATCTGAGTTCTAACCTCTTTACTAGACATACAAGGTTCTGTCTCTGTCTGAGTTCTTACCTACTTACCAGACATACAATGTTCTGTCTAACTGGATCTGAGTTCCTTACCAGACATACAAGGTTCTGTCTAACTGGATCTGAGTTCCTCATCAGACATACCATATCTGACTCTGCCTGGATCTGCACTTCTTATCAGACATACAAGGTTCTGTCTCTGTCTGAGTTCTTACCTACTTACCAGACATACAAGGTTCTGTCTAACTGGATCTGAGTTCCTTACCAGACATACAAGGTTCTGTCTAACTGGATCTGAGTTCCTTACCAGACATACAAGGTTCTGTCTAACTGGATCTGAGTTCCTCATCAGACATACCATATCTGACTCTGCCTGGATCTGCACTTCTTATCAGACATACAAGGTTCTGACTCTGTCTAGATCTGAGTTCCATATCAGACATACAAGGTTCTGACTCTGTCTAAATCTGAGTTCCATATCAGACATACAAGGTTCTGACTCTGTCTAGATCTGAGTTCCTTATCAGACATACAAGGTTCTGACTATGTCTAGATCTGAGTTCCATATCAGACATACAAGGTTCTGACTCTGTCTAGATCTGAGTTCTTACCTCCTTATCAATAATACAAGGTTCCGTCTTTGTCTGGATCTGAGATTTTTCCTCTCTAGTTGTTCCTGTTTGGTGCTGAGGGTACCAACCACCTGTTGTAGGACTGTGTGTAACTCCATCAGAATTCGAGACAGCAGACCTACGATTTCAGCCTCCCCACAATCCCCTCCGTCTCTGTCAGTTTTCTTTTGTTTGGCCTGAAACCTGTAGAGTGTAGAGAGTTTCTCCTTCATCAGGGCCAGGACTAGGGATCTACCATCACTAAACACCTGAAAGAGACTATTCATCATGTGGTGAGTTAACTTATAGAGAGCGATTATAATTTTAACAGAAACTTAATTTTGTATAACTACAAATCAACATTAAATTGAACAATAGTTATTACCTGAATGAGTCACAAATATTTGTTCTGAACAAAGTAATTACATAAAGAAACCTTTTGTTCTGGTTCAAACAGAGTCAATAGTATAATAAAGTTAGCTTCTTGTTGCTGGTGAACATATTTGGAAATGTAAAATGTTTACAGATGACAACAGTCAATTTTTGTCAGTAAAACTGAACAGAGACTCTGGTTCAGGTGAGCCAAAGATTGTTTTCTACACAAAAGGATGAATTAATATAATCATCCTTTTCTTGCAAAAAACATGCAAATTTAAAAGTAGGAACAGAAAAAATGGCCCAGATGTGAATACAATTAGCAGAATAAAAATTATACTGTTTTTCAGAGGTCTGTGTTGCCTCTGCTCACAACTTATGTTGTTTAAATGAACTTTTGTGCAATGTTCATCATCTTTGAATTTCATTCTTGTGCTTTTATTATACATTCTGTAATATGTTCCTTAATGTTGCATTTATTTTAGCATTGAATTCTTATTTTTGGATGTCATTGGTCCTATAACAGTACCATGCTGACAAACTGAATATTGCATGTTAGAGCGGTATGATAATTTGTTAGCACAGACAGGTGCTCTTATAGGACCGACGACATCCAAAAAAATGATTTCAATGCTTATATTTACATTCTCTAATTTTCTCTCTTATTAATTGTTAATTTTGTATATCTTTATCTTAAATAAATGTCCGCGGAAATTAATATTCGTGAGTTTAAGTAGGTCGTGAAACTCGCGAATATTTCTCATACTGGAATAAAATTTGGTTTACAGTATTGCGAGGGAAAAAATGACATTTTAATTTTAAAAGTACAATTGTTAAATTTTTACAATAAATTAATAGGATAATTTTTTAAAATTAAATTGAGCCAAAACAGTTTACAATTTGGTGTTCCTAGAGTATTGAAAATGCATATGGCTGTGAATAACCTACCGCACAGTGACAAAGATTCATGTGTATTATAGGGTATTAAATGTTCTAGATTTCCAATGGATTTCATGAAGAAAATTACACCTGAAAGTAATTAATAAAAACCTTTTATTTATTTCTTCCACCGTGTGATGACAACACCAGTCCTGGCAGACTGACAAAACAATGAATCTTGTGACACCCTGTACTTCAGCGTACGCTCCACTATCCTCTTGATACACCTCCAATGGCTGACGACGGTCTCTGTGAAAGATTAATTTCTTTCTCACTTTTTTTTTCATATGCATTAATAAGCAGTCTCTCTAACTCTTCCAATTTTTTCTTTGAAATCACACCAAAAAAAATCTTTTCAGAGAAACTGTCTTGCCTTAGAGTCATATCTTCATCATACTTCATGAAAGCAGGAAAGGTAGCAGCTATATTCACCACTTGTTCAATCTATAATTGTACCGAAACAAAAAGAAAACTTTATTCATATATTCTACATGGCCGTAAGAACTATAGAAAAAATATCTATTATATGCTTGTGCCCCCTCAATAATAATGTCTGATGACCTTTTTCTTTTGCTTGTCAAGGGATTTTGGTGGTTAATAATGCCCCCCTCCCCCCAACTGAATATGTATGGTTGTGCCCCCTCAAAGTGACATTGCTTCCAGGCCTGTTCTGTATCTATATTTAATAAACCATCTGAAAGTATATTGAAAAAAGTAGATTCATCAAAAACAGAGGTTTAAAGATATTTTTCTTTAATTATTTTCATATACCTTTTGTTTGATGATTGATAATGGGTGGTAAACAGAGCAATATTGTAACTCAAAATCAGCCAATTCTTGTAGAAACCCATTCTGCAAAAAAAATTTAAAAATTTCAAAGCACTAAAAATATAGCACTAGTACACTGTATTACAAATCTATCAATACCTTAGACTTTCAATAGGCGGTGACTTGTTTATATTTACTGGGCACGTCACACTGTGCAGTCAAACAGTGACAAAGACTGTATATTTCACACCAGAACAAGCATTATCAAGGGGAAATTGAGGGTTAATTTCACCGAGTTGGTGCAAACATTGTTTACTAAAATCAAAGCTTATGTAATCTTGTTGTTTGTCAGCAACACCTGAAAATCCAAGCCATTCACTGGTAGAAATTTTCTGATTATAATAATTAGGATGGTAACTAGAAACTCATTACTAGTAATGAGAAGGTCTTCCGTTATACAACTTCCTGTTTGCATCAATATGTCTTTTCCAACGTCGGTATTAGCCTAAAACTTAATATGTAGAAACAAAATAAGTTAAAAATTTCTTTTTTGCTTCGTTTCCTGTCACGACCGGAAATAATGACGACACACGAGTTTTGCACGATGCAAATGAACTGATGACTGACTATAAGTCCTGAAAGTTTTAGACTTCAGTCTATTACTGTTGTCGAACAATTGTGAGAACAAATTCTAATTTTGAGAACAGGAAAACACACGACCGGAAGTGAACTGAATAAAAATCTCTGAATTTTCTCTTGACTTTTAAAATATCTACAACATATGTAAAAAACATTTCAAATACTTATATATAAGGGATATTTCTGAGAAAGTTAAACAACGAAATAACGTAGTTTATCTCTTAAAACCGGAAGTTTAAAGTTTTTGTTTCCGGTGGAATCTAACATATTTCAAAACAGCAAAAGAGAAGCAATAAAGTGATGCAAGTTTAAATTTTAAAAAGAAAAGTTGAAATTTTTGATTTCTTTGATCAGTTCCTGTGACAACCGGAAGTGACGGCTTACGTGTTTAACCCTATGTGTTTTGCCTACTCACGAAGGTTTATTACTCCTATAAGTTTGGTGCCTTACTTTCATGCCGTTTCCGAGATCTCGCTGAAATAACTTTTCATTTTGAGGACAAGAAAACACGCGACCGGAAGTGAATTTTACAAAGATATTTTCAGTCAATATAGACATCTGCAGTCTCAATAACATACATAAAATTCATTTAAAGAACTCTATCTATAAGCGATATGTTGGGGAAAATTCAAAAATCCTTTTATGTAGTTTTTCTCTTATAACCGGAAGTTGTCGTTTTTTGTTTCCGGTGGGACCAACACATATCGTAACTGTGAAAAAGATACAATTACATGATGCAAGTCTTATTCCAAAAGAGAAAAGTTGAAATTGTTGATTTCTTTGATCACTTCCTGTGACGACCGGAAGTAACGACTGACACTCTGTACCCAATGGTTTTGTCAACTCCTCATGGTCTAATACTCCTTTAAGTTTGGTATCTAAATCTCTTACCGTTTCTGAGATATCACTCGGACAAGTTCTCATTTTGCGGACATTCAAACGCGCGACCGGAAGTGAATTTTACAAAGATATTTGACGTTACTCTAGACATTTGCAGTCTTGATAACATATTCAAAAATCAGTTCAAATACTTTATCTATAAAAAATATTTATGGGAAAGTAAAATACTAAAATTATGAAGTTTTTGGCTTATAGCCGGAAGTTGACGTTTTTGTTTCCGGTGGGACCAACATATTTCGAATCTACAAATAAGATGCAACAATGTGATGAAAGAAAAAAATCAAAAAAGAAAAGTTGAAAATTTCGATTTCTATTATCACTTCCTGTGACGACGGGAAGTGACGGCTGACGCTCTTAACCCAAATGGTTTTGCTTACTCCTCAAGATCTATTAACCATATAAGTTTGGTGTCTTACTCTCTTACTGTTTCTGAGATATGACTGGGACAAAATATTTTTGAAAAAAACGGAAATCGGACATATCTGACGACCGGAAGTGAATTTTGAAAAAATGAAAAAAACGCCTGGGCGTATTTTTATTTTCTATCATCCCTGAAAATTTCAAGAAAATCCGTCCAGACATCTCTGAGAAATCGCCCCGAAAAGAAAAGGGGAAAAAAAAAATAATAATAAAGAAGAAACAGTAGAATCACTATAAGGTCTTCCGTCTGAAACGGAAGACCTTAATAATAATAGCCTTCATTAGCACTAGAGCTGTCCTAATATACCTAAATGCTTTAACTTGTGTCTACATACATATATTAGATACATACAGATGGATGGACAGACAGACAAATGGACACAATGATTCTAGTATAGACTACAACTTCATTGTGTGGAGTAAAACATGACACATGGCTAGTTTAGATTATGGTCCTTATAAATTAAAAATTTATTAATATTAGACATTAGTTAATAAACAACTTAAGATTGATGAAAACAATAAAAGTAATAACTCATCCCATATAAATCAATAGACCAAATAAATTTTGCATTGTTTCTAGAAGTTCAAGATTTAAGGCATCTCTAGTATATTTATTTACTTATCCTTCACCAAAACCTTAACACTGCTACCAGAAATCATGATTTTAAAAATTTTGGTAACCTGGCTCATTGCTCATTATAATCATAGAGACACAGTCTGGGAGTAAAGCAGAGGGTTTTCAAAAATACTGACAGTTTTTGCCCAAACCTTCATAAGGACAAAAAAAAAATATTCTCAATTTTTTATCTCCCTTTACCCAAATATGCTATTAACCAAATTTTTAAAGCTCTGATTGATCTTTCAGAGAAGAAGATAAAAATTGTTCAAAAATTCAATAAGAGATGATGCACATATGATATGGCAACAGATGAAATTGGATTAGAATAGGGCATCCTTTTATTAAATTAATACATGAAATAATTGCAACACATACCATAAACAATCAAACCTAGTTATTGACAACTCAACGAGACCAAGTTTATACTTTGAGATATCCCAGGATTCAAGACTAAACAATATGATAAATATCAGAAAAAGTGGTTGGGACTGTCAAATCACTTCAACATATCCCTGGTATTCAACATATGGGTGTTCAAGATAATGAAGTTCAACTGTATCAAGTCTGAAGGAAGACAAAAAGAATCCTGTTTCTTGTTTAATTTTGATGTTTATGTGTGTAGCATTTTGAATTATTCCAACAGATTACCTAAATATACGTGAGAAATTCATTATCACGTAATTTTGCAATAAACACCACTCCCGAAATAAAATTACTCACTTTTATTTCTGTGGTGCTAAAATCCATGTAAAATGTCTTGATCAACCGTTCACTCGTGAATTATTGTTCTTCGTGATTTGACATTAAAGAGTCATTTCGTGATAAAAAGTATTCACAAAAATATGGAATCTGCAGTTTTTTTTCTTTTACAACTGCAAAATATACTGCAAATTAACCATTTATGAAAATATGGAATTCTTAAAAATCATGCCAAAGATTAAAAGTATAAACCAACACATTTGGTAATTTTATTTATATCAAAAGATCTTGCTACAAGTAATTAACACATATTTAATGTCAATAAATGCCCTATCCATTCAAATTAAAATAAATAAAGTCCATCTATGGTACAGAATATCTTATAAATAAAGCAGGTTTACTTAAAGGTCAATGTGGAATCAGGATGTACTAAGGATGCATTGAAACTCTGGTATTTTTATTAAGGAGAAGTCAACAGTAATTAACACACTAAAATATCATAATCAGTATCCTCACATGTGGTTTGTACACGCTAATTTAACCTCCATGCAAATTTAACACGCTAATTTAATCTCCATGCAAATTCAAAGACATTTGGGAGACTTTCTTATCTGAAGTGCACAGTGACAAATGACGCATGTACTTTTTTAAGGTGCTGAATTGTTCAGGTCTAAAAAAATGTTGTTGCACTGTTACAGGTAATATGCTTCAACAAGAGGCCAAAGGGCCTTAACGGTCACCTGAGTAAAATACAACAATTTAGAGGATCCATCGTGTATAAAATAAACTGAAAGGTGAAGCTTTGTTGCCCAAAAGCAAGAAAAATAGGATGATCAGGATCAACAAAATAATTAGTCTAGTATTCATTAACAGTTCATAAATTCTAACCTGTTCCCCATTTATCACTAATCAACATACAACAAATATGCCCTTCCTTATTAAAACTTTTAGTCTGTTTGCCTCTGATATGCCCAAGTGCAGAGAAGATTTTTAAAGAAATAATGCATTTTTACCACAGATTCAACACAGCCCTATACCCTAACACCAGAACACTTGACCCACGGTCATGAAATTTACAGATTTGAAAAAGATACCCTCATCATCATAACTATGCACTTAGTTGAAGATTTTCAAAGAAATAACACACTTTCACTATATTATCAATAGAGCCACCCCTCCCTACCAAGACCAATAGAGCCTCCCCCTCCCCCCCCCCCCATCCCACTTTCACCAGAATCCCTGACCCTGGGGCCATGAATTTTACAATTTTGGAAGAGCCATACTTGCGTATCATAACAATGTACTTTGTTTGTTTAAAAAATACCCAAGGGCAGAGAAGATTTTCAAAGAAATATAATTCACCTTCTCTATACGATCTATATAGCCCCGCCCTAGCACCAGAACCCCTCACCTTGGGGCATGAATTTCACAATTTTGGAGGAGGCATCCTTACTTATCATAACAATGTACTTAGTTTGTTTTGATAATAACCAGGAGCAAAGAAGATTTTTAAAGACTTAATGCATTTTCACTATACAATAGAGTCCCATCCTAACACTAGAACCCCTGATCCAGGGGCAATGAAATTCACAATTTTGGAAGAGGCTCCTATCAAGTATGAGCTTTGAATGATTCTCTATTACAAAATTATAACCCAGATAAGAATGCACAGAGAGACAGACAAGGTCATTTGCAGGGGTATAATAAAACTGAAAGATGACAGTACGTTGCCCATAACAAAGAGAAATAGGATGATCAGGGATCAACAAATAATTAGTCTAGTACTAATTAACAAATCTTAAAG